ATGAATAAAAATATATGGGTGGCACGGTGGCTCAGTGGTTGGCACTGTCGCCTCACAGCAATAAGGTCGCTGATTTGAGTCCCGGCTGGGCCAGTTGGCATTTCTGTGTGGAGTTGGCATGTTCTCCTCGTGTTGGCATGGGTTTCCTCAGGGTGCTTCGATGTTCCCCACAGTCCAAAGACATGTGCTATATGGGGAATTGAATAAACTAAGTTGGCTGTAGTGTATGAGTGTGTGTGAATGAATGTGTATGGGTGTTTCCCAACAATGGGTTGCAGCTGGAAGGGTATCCACTGTGTAAAACATATGCTGGACAAGTTAGTGATTCATTTTGCTGTGGGGACCCCTGATTTAATAAAGGGACTAAGCTGAAAATAAAATGAATGATTGAATAAATGAAAATATATGCAACTGCTATAATAAATCTCAATGAAGATATGCTGAAGAATACTGTAAAACAACAGCCATTGACAACCATAATAGCAACAAAAATACCATGAAAGTCAATGGCTTTTTTCAACATTTTTCTGAATATCATCTTTTGTATTCAACAGCAGAAAGAAACTCACACAGGTTTCTATCAAGTGAAAGTAAATGATGAGTAAATGATGGTAAATTATGAGTTAAAAATGAGTAAATTGTAAGAGAGTTTTTGTGTGAACCATCTCTCATTGTTTCACAAGGCTTCATGATCAATATTTATATCGTCAGTGCTGTGATCAGCTGATGTTTCACATTGTTAAATGGTGGCATGAATGGTGAGACCAAACATGTGCCTGTAAACGTGTATTATTGTACATTCAAATTGATTTCCAATGACTCCACCCTGAATGAATCCTTATCCTTGGTACACTGTCGACAGACCAAATCCATGAAGCAAAGAAATGTATTATTTATTATGTGTTCATTGAAAAACTAATACAAGAATAAGATGAAGACAAATAATAATGACATTTCCTATGTGTGATTTTCTTTGGGAAATTGAGATTTATGCATCTCTTGAAAGCTGAATGAATAAGATTTTCTTTGATGTAGTTTTAAGATATACACTAAAAGAATGACTTTTGCTGCTTGTTTAAACTACATATTTAAAATGAGTTGAAACAACACAATTCTTATGTTTTTTTTGGGAGAGAACTTAATTGTTTTATGTTCAATCTACTTCAATTTTTTAATACGATAAAGTTAACTTAACTGATTTGTGTTGGGTCAACATGTAGGAATTGTTTGGAACCCAGCATTTATTACAGGACTATTTTAGGATGATTTTTGGCTGACAACTACATTCAAAAAATTATATTTGCTGTTTGTTCAACTTACTTATTTAAAATTAGCTGAAACAACACAATTCTTGAGGTTTTTGAGGTTTATAAGTTAATTCTTTCATGTTGTCACAAACTGATAGGGTGGAACCCTGCATTTTATTTACAGTGAACATCTTACAAAAGCTGAATAAATTTTAATTGATGCAGTTTTAGGATATATAATTTATATATTTAAGGACAATTTTTGGACAATCATTTTTTGTCTGGCACACTTTTTTTTTGTCTGGCAACCCCTCAAAAAGATGTTTGCTGCTTGTTCAAACTACTTATTTAAAATGAGCTGAAACAACACAGTTTTTGAGGTTTTCGGCGAGGACAACTTAATTGATTTTTGTTCAATCCATTTAAATTAAAGTATTATCTAATAAGTAAAATAATTAAAGTAAAATCTAATAAGTTAACTTAATTCCTTCATGTTGTAATTTTTTTTTACAGTGAACATCTTCCAAAAGTTGAATAAATAAGATTTCTATTGATGTAGTTTTAAGATATACACTGTAAAAAAATCCATAGTTTTACGTTTTTTTTTTCTTTTTGGTAGCTGGGGTGCTGAAAAAAAGCATAAAATAACAGCATAATTACAGAAATTTATCGTAAAAAAATAACGGCCATAACCTTACAGAAATTTACTTTTAAATAACGACCATTAAGTTTAAAAAATTTCAGAAATTTATCAACAAAAAAACAAACAAAAAACAGCCATTAAATGACAAAAATTTACTGTAAAATATCGGCTGTTAAATTTCTGAAATTTACTGTAAAATAACAGCTATTAAATTACAGAAATTGACCGTAAAATAATAGCCATTAAATTAAAAAAATTTACTGTGTAATATCGGCAATTAAATTACAGAAATTTACTGTGTAATAACGACAATTAAATGACAGAAATTTACCGTAAAATAACAGCAATTAAATTACAGAAATTTATCGTAAAATAACGGCCATTAAATAAAAAAATTACAGTAAAATAGCGACCGTTAAATTTCAGAAATTTACTCTAAAATAACGACATTAAATTACAGAAATTTAAAGTAAAATAATGGCCATTATTTTACGGTAAATTTCTAAAAATTGAATTACAGACATTTACCCTCAAATAGCAGTCAATAAATTACAGAAATTTCCTTAAATTTCTGGTAATTTTCTGTAATTTAACGTCTGTTATTTTCTGGTAAATTTCTGTAATTTCAGATTTTTTACAGTGTAGTTTAAATTTTGGAAATATATGACAAATTTTGGCTGACAACTACACTCAAAAAAGGATAATTGATGTTTGTTCAAACTACTTATTTAAAATTCTTGTGGTTTTTTTGGGGACTACTTAACTGTTTTATGTTCAGTCCACTTAAATTTGTAAACTAATAAGTTAACTTAATTTCTTTATGTTGTCATGTTGATGCTTATGTGGAACCCAGAACTTTTAACAGTGTACTGTGAAAAGTGAAATCTTAAACAAATGACTTCAGCTTTTTACAGCTACATGAAATAAATAGCTTCCACTTAACTGTTTATGATTTTCAGTTTTAAATGAATTGAAAAAACATTCTTTTAGGTATGAGATGTTGAAATCATTCAAGTTGATCCAGTTAGGCTTTTGCTTTCAGTGTACTTACCGAAAATTAATTTTTAAAATATTTACAGTTGTAAATGTACAAGATATCTTTATGAAACAAACTCTTAACTTAGTATTCTAATGATTTTTGGCATAAAAGAGAAACCGATCATTTTGACCCATGCAATGTATTCTTTGGCTACTGACTAAAATTTTTCAGTGGACAACAAGCACGACCAGTAAACAAAAACTTATCCACTATCATGATCATCTATGGAAAATAATCTCCCTTTCAAAAGCTGTTTTAGCTCTGAATTGATGTTGTTGCCATTGCCGCACATATTTGCCACGGGCGCTTCAGACAATGACATAGGAATTATTGACATCTGGTGCTCACACTGTGCTGATGGCTGTTGGAAAATCAGCCGTGTCAAATAAAGGGGCCGGACGGACACGCATAGAAAAGCTGAAAATACCAGAGCTCTCATCATCACCATCACTCCTGAACCCTTCAAGCCTGCAGCTCTTGTCTGGTTTGTTTTATAATACAGTTGGGAGTAAAGCAATTTTTAACCATTTTAAGGTAAGATTTCGCAATATTACCTAGCTAACTACCAACAGATTTTATTTTATGGTAATTAAACATGCTAGAGAAATGTATTGCATGCACTAGTATGTTACTTGACTATTAATTATTCAATGAAGATTGATGTACACTGTAAAAAGCAATTACTCCACTTAAATAAGCGACTTTACTCAAAAACATGAGTAAACATGTTGATTTTAAAGTGATTAGTCGACTTTACTTAAGAAAAGTGAATAAAAGTTACTTTTAAAGTGATTAGTCGACTTTATTGAAGAAAAGTGAGTAAACCTGTTGCTTTTAAAGCGATAAGATGATTTTTAAATAAAAAAGTGAGTAAACCTGTTACTTTTAAATCGATCAGTTGACTTTACTTAAGTAAAGTGAGTAAACCTTTTACTTTTAAAGCGATTAGTTGACCTTTAAACAACTAAAGTGAGTAAACCCGTTACTTTTAAAGTGAATAGTTGACTTTAATTAATAGATGGGTACGCCTGTTGCTTTTAAAGCAGTTAATTCACTTTAATTAAGAAAAGTGAGTAAACGTTACTTTTTTTAAGCAATTAGTTGACTTTATTTAAAAGAAAAATTGTAAACCCGTTACTTTTAAAGTGATTAGTTGACTTTAATTAATAGATGGGTACACCTGTTGCTTTTAAAGCAGTTAGTTTACTTTACTTAAGAAAAGTGAGTAAATCTGCCTTCAGTTATTAAGTAAATATGTGCATAATTATAAAATTAAGTGTAAAAAATGAATGTAGCTAACTCAAAATTTACCGAAAGTTTATTCTACTCATTTGAAAAGAGTTTTTAACTCTGTGTTGAAGGTAATGAAATATAATAAAAATTATTTAATAATAAATAATAAAATATTTTATTACCTTATTACTTCAACTTAAATTGAGTAAGTTTACAGTACTCATATAGATTATTATTTTTAACTCAAATGTTTTGAGTTGCCTTTACTTAATGGGTATTACAGTGCTCTGTTGGTTTAAGTTCACTTCATTTATCAGGTTTTACTTTTCTCATATTGCTTCATTTACTCAAATGGAACTTCACAGTGCTCATTAGGATTAGTTTTTGACCTTAAATGGTTTGTTGCAATCGGTTTCCTCAAATGTTTTAAGTTACCTTAACTTTTTGGGTTTTACAGTGGTTACAACAGGTTTTCTCACTTTTTCTAAAATAAAGTCAAACAGTTGCTTTAAAGGCAACTTATTTACTGACTTTTTATACCTAATTGCTTATTTTTTTATATATCAAGTATTCTTTATATTAGATACTAGATATATATATATATATATATATATATATATATATATATATATATATATATATATATATATATATATATAAATTGTCAATCATAAATTCTGATATTTAAAGGGATAGTTCACCAAAAAATTTAAATGGGCTAAATTTTTACTCTTTTTCAGAACACAAAAGAAGATATTTTGGAAGAAGCTGAAAACGTGTAACCATTGACTTCCATAGTAGGAAAAAAATACAAGTCTACAACATAGGCTCATTCTGAAAACGTAGCCCTATATACATTTCTGGACATCGCAAATTATGTAGCCAGCGGAACGTATGGCCGTGAGGACGGATTTCCTGCTGTTATCAGTTTGCCCAGTGGCTCACTGCATACATCAGAGAATTTAAGACAAAAAGTGGAGTTGACTGTGACTACGGTGTTCAAGTCCGGCAAAGAACAGTTCCAGAATTCAGGTAAGGCAAAAGGCAAAAAATAAATAAAACAAATACGGCAATAACAGGGTGAGAATGTGGTAAAATCTGAAAACGTGGGAGGCTTTTCTTTTTCTGGATTTCTTTTTAAAACTGTCGGTTGGTTCTAGGGAAGTGGGTAGACGGGTCAATTGGTGCTTTTAAAAACACTATCAGGGTGCGTCACTCGATCAGTCAGGCAGTAGACAGCGGCCTCTTGTGGGTTTACATGATACAGCAGGCGCAAATAGCACTCACGAGAGAAGTTTGAGATCTCAAAACTTTGTACACAGAGGCCTCTGGTGGATTCGCAAAAACAAAAACTGCAAAAAACTTTGCGCTCTCCATAAATGTATATAGAAGTATACAATCAGAATGAGTCTGGGTTGGGTTTCCATCTTACTTCAAAATATCTTCTTTTGTGTTCATCAGAAGAAAGAAAATCATAAAAGTTTAGACCAAGTAAAGGGAGTAAATGTTGACTGAATTTAAATTTTTGGGGTGAACTATCTCTTTAAATGTTATTAGTTAGCCTTGCTTTTCCATGGGCACAACATTTGTGGATTTGCAACTGACCATGTATATGTGTAATAACTCATTTCTACCATTAAATTTTTTTTCAGAGGGTGATTTGTAGCTTGGAAATCAGCAAAAACTGCACACAACTGAATTAAACTGTGTTTCTGACAAGAAGCAAGAACACAGGCAATGGCTCACCATCAGATACATCACCACAGTCAACACCATCATCATCCTCACCATCAGCGGCGGCACTCGTCTCATCGCCACCACCATCATCACCACGACACACACCATCAGGAGGACCACGAGGAGAAGAGGTGATTTAGTTATATTACGATATATATGTTACTTAAGCCATGTGCATTTGAGATATCATTCAGCAAAAGGAGTTGAAGTAATTTTTTCTTCACTTTTTATTTAGCATTTCAGATGTCATCAGTGGTCATCATCATATTCAGGAACATTATAACCATCGTCACTCCAAAGCAGACAGCCATCATCATCATCACCACCATCAACAGCATCCACAACGTCAGGACAAACGACACACACCGAGAAAAAAATCTCACTCCAAAGCTTCAGTGACTTCTTCAAACTCTTCTGGGTCTTCCTCTAGTTCCTTGTCAAAGACTTCAAGCTCGTCCAGTTCTGATTCCTCTTCTTCTGAATCCTCTTCCTCCTCCAGTTCCACTTCGTCTTCCTCTTCTAAATCATATTTTTCCAATTCTAGCTTTTCATCCTCCTCTTCCTCTGGTTCAGGATCTTCTTGGTCATCTGAAACCAGTGTCGAAAATGTCCCTTTGCCTTCTGGGTCCAAGCGAGATATTCGGCGTCCGCAACACTCACAGTCATGTATGGATATCAGCAGAGGCAGGAAAGCCTTTGAGGATGATGAAGATGATGTAGATACAACGCCTTTACTGGATGTTGATTCTGATGACCATCTCAAGAAGTCTACAAGCATGGAAAAGAACATGACCGTCAATGAGAAAAGTGGAGGGACTCTGAAGAAGCGTTCTCAACTACAGAATGAAAAGGGGAATAAGGGGCAAAAACAGAGTCATGCCAAAGGAAATCCAAACATTAGAAAGACCAAATCTATGGAGGTTCTGTCAAGGCGACTAGACCATTCTGGTGTTGGAGACTTGGATGAAAAAGAGCGAGAGAAAAGGAAACAAGAAGCCCATAAGACCTTTGTGAAGGAGAAGATGAAATTTTCAGCCTTTTTGAATGAAATCACTAGGCAGGTGCTCAGCCCATCGAGACTTACATCTCTTGGGGTAACAGATGTTCAGAGGCCTTCGAGCCCTGGGCAGACTTCAACATCTCCAAAAATATTGTCTCCAAAGCCTGAACACAAAAGAGAAAAGAAGTCAAAGATTACCAGAAGTCGCCCGGGAAGCAGTGCAAGTTCCAGAACATCGACTGCCCACTCTCATGTAAGCAAGCATTCACACATCAGTAGGCATTCTCACTCCAGTAAGCGTTCTCACTCCAGTAAACACTCCCATTCCAAAAAGCACTCACATTCAAGAAAAAACTCCCACTCCAACAAGCATTGTTATTCCGAACGGGACCTACTTCACCAGCAGCAGCAGCAGCAGCAGTCTGCTTCCAGGCATCGTCACAGCAGTACAAAAAGTGATACAAGCAATGCTAGCTCTTCCTCAAAAGGTCTTTCATCTGGGACTGAACGTGGCCATAAAGGTCAGAAGAAGCAGCAAACGTCCCCCAAAGAGCAACATCTCAATCATCGACATTCACACCACAAATCCTCTCCATCTCACCATCATCACAAAGAAGATTGTCACAGCTCACCTTCATGTCCTCGTTCTCCAGAATCAGAAAATCATCACCATCGTTCCCATTCAGGCTCTCATCACCATCATGCCCATCCAGACTCTCATCATCATCATACCCATCCAGAATCTCATCACAATCATACCCATCCAGATTCAGATCACCATCATTCCCATCCAGTCTCTCAACTCCACCATTCTCATCCAGACTCCCATCACGCTCATACCCTTCCAGACTCTCATCACCATCATACCCATCCAGATTCAGACCACCATCATTCCCGTCCAGACTCTCAACACCATCATTCCCATCCAGACTCCCATCACCATCATTCTCATTCAGACTCTCATCACCATCATACCCATTCAAACACCCATCACCATCATTCCCATCCAGATTCAGACCACCATCATTTCTATCCAGACTCTCATCATCCTCATACCCATCCAGACTCTCATGACCATCATTCCTATCCAGACTCTCATCACTCTCATACCCATCCAGACTCTCATGACCATCATTCCTATCCAGACTCTCATCTCTCTCATACCCATCCAGATTCTCATGACCATCATACCCATCCAGATTCAGACCACCATCAATCTCATTCAGACTCTCAACACCACCATACCCACCCAGACTCTCATCACCATCATTCCCACCCAGACTCCCATCACCATCATTCCCACCCAGACTCTCATCACCATCATTCCCATCCAGACTCCTATCACCATCATTCCCACCCAGACTCCCATCACCATCATTCCCATTCAGACTCTCATCAACATCCCTCACCATCATCACATCACCACCATGAAACTCATCATGACCCATCACCTCACTCTCATTCTCCTCATTCAGATTCCCATCATCATTTACATTCTCCATCACAATACCATCAGGGAGCTCAGCACAGCCCAACACACACCTCTAACTCAGAATTACAAACTTATCATCATCATCACTCACCTTCACCTCCACATCACCACCATGAAAGTCACCATACCTCAGCTTCACACCATAGTTCCACCTATTCAGAAACTACCCACCATCATTCCCATCCAAAATCTCACCGTTCTTATTCACCACCCCCTCCTCTACACCACCACAGAGAGCATGGAAGTATATCTCAACTCTCTAACAATTCAGAAACTCACCATCAGTCTGATTATGAGTCCACTCATCTCAAATCTCAAAACCATCATCATGCTCATCCTAATCACTCCAACCCTCATCGCACTTCAATTTCAGAACCAGAGCTCCATCATTTTCACAATGATCCCCCCACTGAAACTCGCCAACATTCTCATAGCGCTTTACCAGTTAACCATTACCATTCCTCTCAAAGAGACTCTCACCATAATCTTCACCACCATCACTTGTCTGATGGTTATCTAAAAAGCCCTGCTCACTCTAATTCGCACCATCTTTACGAAAGTCATCCCAACACACATTTTGACGTCCAAGATCACAGGCTATCACAATCTAAAGGACATGTTTCCCATTTAGAATTCCACCACAGTGATAATAATAATCCTCCAGAGTCTCACCATTTTCACTCAGAAAGTCACGATAAATCTCAAGTAGATACTGATCATTGCACAAATCACCACAAATCTCAAGATTCTCACCATCCCTCCTTTTCTCATCACCACTCTAGTTCAGATTCTAACCATCCTCAACATCTCAAGTATTCGGAAACTCATCATTCCCAATTAGAATCCCACCATCACAATTCCCACAATCACAACACATCACTCTCTAAAGGACACCTTTCCCATTTGGAGTTTCACCAACACCACAGTGATCACAACCCTTCGGAATCTCACCCTCAGATTTTACACTGGGCAAGTCATGATAACCCCTCTGATGAATCAGATCTTTACCATCACCACAAATCTCAGGACTCTCATAATCTTTCCCATTCCAATTTCCATCAAATTTCCAACATAGAGTCTAACCATCCAGAGCACCACAAGCATTCAGAATCTCATCACCATTCCCAACCAGAGACCCAACACCATCATCATTACCACGATGATGATCACCAAAGCCATCTTCGCCACTCGCCAGTTGGCCAGCGATCTACTTCTCCACATTCTACCAAGTCAGATTCTTCCGCCAGCTCCACTATCCAGGATGACCAGTCCACAGTGAGCTACCAAGAGCCATCCTCATTTCCAAAGGTAAGTGGCTTTCAGTACAATGAAACTTTGGCCCAATCCCAGTACTTTTTTCCTCTTAAACCTACGCCTTCTCCTTGGCTCTTGAAACAGGAAAGTACGAGGTAGGGCTGAAAGCAGCCACTTAACAAAATATCTTTGACCCAGTTCTGGCCCACAAAATCAGCTTTTGCTTTGCCCACATGCCGCAGTGAAATACGGTACATGACTGGACCAAGTCTGGCTTCCAGACAAGGGCTAAACATGGACCATATCTAGGCCAAGTCTCAGCCAAGTTACTAAACCATCACTGAGCCTGAACTGGGCCAGATATGATGGTGTGTCAATCATTGCACTTTAGGCATGCTGTGAGCGTGCTTTTTCTCAAAGCAACCTGATTGGTAGATTTTATTTTCTTTATTTGAAAATACTAAAAATGTATTTTAAATGTAGGTCAAGATAGGCAAAACTTACATGGCCCACATATCAATTATTAACATCTGGGCCATATATTGTGTGCCGCCTTAAAGACGGTGCCACTTCTGCCAAATCAGGGCCATGTTTGGCCCACATGCTATATGCTAGTGCCGGATGCATGCCTGCTGAGCAAGATTTATGGCAAATCTGGGTCAGAAGGGGTAGGGCTGAAAATATTCCCCTAAGAAATGGGACACCACTACTACACCTGCACATGTCATTCTGTATGTAATTAAATGCTAATACGTCACACAAGATGTTGTCTGCAATAGTCAATACAAAAGGCACAAGCACAGTTTAAAGTCTGCCTTTTCTGACAGGGTAGCCTAATCTGTCAAGTCATTGGGTATAAGAATGTAAAAAAAAATAGTGTGGGGCTATCATTAGCTTAATTTAGTTTTTGCTTTAAACAATTATTTTAAAAACCTGTAAATGAAAGTCGTTATGAATGTAATAAAACAAAGGTTGTAGTAAAAATGTTGTATTAGTGCTTGGTTGTAGTAAAAATGCTAAATTTGGGTCTCCTAGCCCACATAGGCATGTTTCTGTTTTAGCTGGTGTGTTCAGGGAAATTTCTCATACCCCTTTATTTGTCGTGGGGTCCCAGAAAATCATTGTTTGAAAGGCTATCTGGCTCTTCTGTTACCCTCATGCCTCCAACGAACAGAGAATCAAGACACCTCTACCCCTTCCAGGGGCACCACTGGCTGGTACGGGCCCAAGAAAGTATTTTCAATGGAAGATGGGGTGGTGTGTTTCGCGGATCAAAGTAAAGCCCAGTGTGGTGGGTGGGGGTGGGAGTTTGGTTTGAAAGTAAAGGGGGGGGGGGGGGGGGGGTTGTGGACAAAAGTGAAGAGGGGGGATGGTGTTGTGAACGAAATAGGTTTTGGTGGGCCCCTAATAGTATCTCTGGGGGCCCCAAAACGACATGGGCCCTAAGAATCTTCCTAATTTTTCCCCCGCTAGCAGCGCCTCTGACCGCTTTATGTAATTGTGAGAAACAGAAATGGGATTGGGTCTATTTACACTACTGCTTTGAATTTTAAAAGATGCATATACAATTCATATTATTTATTAAATCTGATCTGCTTTCATCTCTGCACAGGGAACCCACCCAGAATTGGAGAAGTTAATGTAAGTCTCTTGTTTACTTTCACATTCTTTAGTTTGCATGCTCTTGGCAAAAGTGTTACCTTGCTTTTCTTTTGGATCTGTAAAGATTTATTTTAGCTTCATTAGGATGATGTAAAGCAAAACAGTTTGAGAGGGGAGTTTAAGCTCAGGTAGATCTCGAGAACTCCCCTGCTGTAGTAGCTAATGAACAAATAGGGATTGCTCTTATGTGATAACTATTTACTAGGAGCATGTCTATGGTGCCGATTTGGATCAGTCAATTAACTTAAGTTGCATGTTTTTGGAAGGTGGGAGGAAACCGGGGAACCCGGGGGAAACCCACGTAAACACGGGCAGAACGTGTAAATAGGGTATTCATAGTGGATTAGGAATCGTCTGATTGGTGAATCATAAATTGAATAATGAGGGACCGGCTGCAAGCAATCATAAGCATGTGATCCTTTAAACATTTGTTTATCAATAAACTTTACAGTGTATCATACGCATATGTTTTTTTCAACATAGGCTCATTCTGAAAATGTAGCTCTACAGGTATATACGTCTCTGGAGTTTGAAATGTATGTAGCCAGAAGTACGTATGGCTGCATTTCTTTTTTTAAATGAACATTACAGGGCGGTACGACGTCGTTCCTGTTCTCTGTATGGATGGCCTTTCCGCTGTTACCAGTTTGTCTAGTTAGCTCGTCATGTACGTTGGGTACAACGCGAGTCAATCGGTGCTTTTAAAAACACTGTTAGTTAGTATTAGGAAAGGAGGAAGAAGGGTCAGTCGATTAGTCAGTCAGTCAGTCAGTCAGTCAGTCAGTCAATCAGTCGACAGCGGTCTCTGGTGGGTTTATGTGAGAAGAGCAGGCGCGAATGGCACTCACGAGAGAAATTTAAGATCTCAAAAAGCGTACACAGCGACCTTCGGTGGATTCGCAAAATAAAAACTTCGAAACAAAATTTAGCTCCTGGGACGTATTTGGCACTCTAAAAAATGTATATAGAGGTACATTTTCAGAATAAGCCTGAGTTGTTGTTTTTTTTTTACGCACATTTTCAAAATATATGCACATCTTGACTTTCCATTAAGCCTTTTTTATATGATATTCCAAAATTTGCATACAATTAGGTGGATGGAAACATACCTAATGTAGAAGCCTCAACGAGAAGTTCTTGTTTGACTGTTAGTCTATTGGATCTGTCTAGGATGTTACAGGAACAGAATGAGGTTCTCCACCACAGCTTACTGCAGACCACTGTGCGCATGGAATGTATGGGAGCTGAGTTCAAAACTGGCCACCAGCTCCTTGAGTCTGAGCTACAGAGAACTCGCATTGAGCTTACTAGCCTAATGGATCGGTTCACAAGGTGAGACACAACTCTGAACTGCTGTGTTGTATTATTGGATCACACAATGCAAACACATCAAATGCTGTTTTAGGATTATTGTTTTCTGTTTTTCTTTTTCATCAGACTTCATGATAACTACTCCTGCACACAGCAAACCAACCACCTGCTGGAGAAAAAACTGCATTGTGTGGTAATGCCCAGTTTAACGCTTCTATCTCTTGATTTACAAAAACCCAAACTATTTCAAAGGCGACTTTATTGTTAATCTGTCTGTTTTTAATGAAGGCACAGAGTATGGATGGAGAGCGTGAACGGCTGAATCAGCGAATCTCAGAGCTCACAGATCAACTGTCTACAGCAAAGACCACCATCCAGGGTCTAGAGACTATTGATGTGAGTTATAAATTATATTTGTATTAACATGCTACATATACCGCAGCAATGTCATGTCCTTAGATATGTAGACATTCCTTAATAGTACTTATTTATTACCATTCAATTATGTTATAGCTCGAGCAAAATATAAATTGTGTAAATATGAAATACAACCCCGAATCAGAAAATGTTGGGACATTATGGAAAATACAAATAAAAAGAAAGATGGTATTTCTAAATTTACTTTGACTTGTATTTCATTGCAGACAATACAACAAACCTTATTTAATGTGTTCCTAGTGATTTGTATAGTTTTGTTTTCAAACCAAACACACATCACAATTTTGGTTCTTGCAACACATTAACATAAAGGAGGGGAGGTTGGGACAGGAGCAGTTTAGGGCTAGTAATCAGATAAATTGTTTAAATAATGATGTTATTTGAAACAGTTGATGTCAACAGGTGACTGTAATTATGATTTGGTACAAAAGCAACACCCAAGAAAGTTCTTGTCCTTTGGGAGCAAAAGTGAGCAGAGGATCGCCAGTTTGCCAACAAATATGTAGTGAAATGTTTCAAATCAATGTTCTTCAAAGAAAGATAGGAAGACATTAGGATATTTCACCGTCAACAGTGCATAACATCATTTAAAAGACTCAAGGAATCTGGAGGAATTTCAATGCATATGCTGAACTGCATCAAGAATCGTCATTCATCTAGACTTGAAGTCTGAATTATTAGCCCCCCTGCTTATTTTCCCCCAATTTCTGTTTAACGGAGAGAAGTTTTTTTTTTTAACACATTTCTAAACATAAGTTTTAATAACTCATCTCTAAAAACTGATTTATTTTATCTTTGGCATGATAGTAGTAAATAATATTTGACTTCATATTTTTCAAGACACTTCTATACAGCTTAAAGTGACAATAAAAGGCTTAACTAGGTTTATTAGGTTAACTAGACAGGTTAGGGTAATTATGTCATGTTTTTTTTCTGACTATCAAAAAATATAGATTAAAGGGGCTAATAATTTTGTCTTTAAATGGCTTTAAAAAAAAATAAAACTGCTTTTATTCTAGCAGAAATAAAACAAATAAGACTTTCTCCAGAAGAAAAAATATTATCAGACATACTGTGAAAATTGTTCTTGCTCTGTTAAATGTCATTTGGGAAATATAAAAAAAATCAAAGGGGGTTTAATAGCTCTGACTTATCACCAGATGGGCTCAGGAACATTTTGGCAAACCTTTGTCAAGTACCACAGTATTTAAATCCACAAATGGCAGTTAAAACTGTACTGTGCCAAAAGGAAGCCCTATGTTAACAGTGTCCATGAGCGCTGTTGACTTCTCTAGACTTGACGGCATCTAAAATGGACTATTACACCGTAGAAACGTGTACTGTGGTCAGATGAATCAGTATTTTAGGTATTTTTTGGGAGAAATAGATGGCGTGAGAATTAGACTGTCTCCAATAGAGAATGTGTGGCACATTCTAGAAACGTATCCCTATATACATTTCTGGAGAGCAGGAAATATGTAGCCAGAAGTATGTATGGCTGCATTTCATCTTTAAAACAAACACTATGGGGCAGTACGATGCCTTTTCGCGCTTACCAACTAATCGCTTTCCTCCGTATAGACAGTTTTCCCTCTGTTACCAGTTTGTCCAGTTAGCTCGCCATGTACGTCAGCAGACTTGAGTTGCAGAACAGAGTTGACCATGATGACAGCGTTCGAGTCTGGCGAAGAACAGTTCCAGAAAGCGGATAAAACAACAACAGAAGCCAAAAAAATAAAATAAACAAGTAAATAGCAGGGTGAGAATTTGGTTAAATCTGAAAACGTGATAAAAAACAGACGAGGGCTTTTCTTTTTCTGGATTGCTTTTGAAAACACTATCGGTTGGATTTAGTGAAAGAGGAGGGTGGGTCAGTCGATCAGTCAGTCAGTCAGTCAGTTTACAGAGGCCTCTAGTGGATTTACGTGAGAACAGCAGGCGTGAATGACACTCATGAGAGAAATTTGAGATCTGAAAAAGTGCACACAGCGACCTCTGGTGGACTGGCGAAAACAAAAATTGCAAAAAACGAACTTTCTGGAACGTATTTGGCACTCTCCATAAATGTATATAGGGGTGCGTTTTCAGAATGAGCCTGGGTTGCTTAAGCGGTAATTAGTTTTTTTGTAATTTGATGCAAAGATGCTGCAATAAATACATATGAATATGAATGCATAAAAAAATCTGAGAGGCTAAAATTTAAGAGGCTGTTGACCGTTAAACACGTCATAACAGTCTTGTAAAAAATGTCTATTGCTGGGGTCACCAATCTGAGTCCTGGAGGGCCGGTGTCCCTGCAGGGTTTAGCTCCAACTTGCATCAACACACCTGGCTGGGTGTTGCAAGTATACCTAGTAAGACCGTGATTAGCTTGTTCAGGTGTGTTTGATTAGGGTTGGAGTGAAAAACTGCAGGACACCAACCCTACAGGAACAAGTTTAGTGACCACTGGTCTATTGTCTTGAAATGAATTATTTTTTAAATCATATTCCTTATTTTACTATTCTTTCGAACAATACTTAGCTCACACTTATACATTATATACCAAATAAGGGTCTACTCAGAATAACCGCCCCAATTTAATAACGTTTCCATGTCCGTGCGTCACAGGTGACATCAGCGCTACAGTCTGACGATGACAAAACTCCACTTCCAGTCGCACCACCTCCAGCTCAGTTCATGGACACTGATCACTATGACAAAGTCTCCATGCGCGCCGATGACGGCCAATCACTGGGAACTCTTCCAGAGGAGGAGGAATCCGATTGGTCAGAAATGGGAGAAGAGGCGATCTTGAGAAATTCGCAAGGAAATCATGCGAATGCCTCGTATTTCCAGTGGCAGCAGAGGCAAGGCGGATGGGACGGGATGAATCAGTATTCCAGGGGCATCATTGTGGATACAGAGAGTGAATCTGGCGGTGAGGAAAGTAAATGTCTTCCTCCTCATGGCCTACAGATACCACATCTCAAGTTCACCGTACACCCTGAAACCTTACCGGTTCCCATCACTGATGCCAGCCTGGCCCGCTTTAAGCAGAATCCAGATGGTCCAGCCTTTGAGATCACTGAAGTGCGGAGTCTGGGATCTCCCATTCGTGTACTTTCCGCTAGTCTGGAGGAGATCCACTCGATTGGGCGTCTGGAGCAGCAGGAGCAGGATCATATTGTCCAGCTGAGGAGCAATAAATCCATGATGGATCTCCACCACTCACAGGCTGGCACCAGACAGGTTTTGTATGAGGATGAGATTGTCGGCAATTGGAGAGATGCGAACAGCCATGCTGTAGTAGAGGATATTAACGGGTTGGTTGGTCTAGAGTCTGCTCAGAAAATGCTCAACCACTTTATTCACGATGGGGAGAGCACTCACTTGTGATTAAATGGATTTTTACAAATGTAGAGAGCTATTTTAGCATTTATGGTGGAAAATACGGCGACGTTTGTCAATATGGACAAACCTAACACTAAGTAGAATTTTTTAATTAGATTTAAATGACACTTTAAACACACAATTTACACCCAAGGGTTGTGTTTGTCCAAATTTGATCCAATGCTGGGTTCATTCATTCATTTCCTTTTCGGCTTAGTCCTTTTAATAATCAGATGTGGCCACAGCGGAATGAACCGCCAACTTATCCAGCATATGTTTTATGCAGCGGATGCCCTTCCAGCTGCAACCGGGAAACACCCATAACCTCTCATTCACACATATACACCAAGGACAATTTAGCTTACCCAATTCACCAAAAGCGCATGTGTTTGGACTGTGGGGGAAACCGGAGCACCCAAAGGAAATCCAAGCCAACAAGGGGAGAATCGCCCAGCCGAGAACAGAACCAGCAACTTTCTTGCTGTGAGGCGACAGTGCTAACCACTAAGCCATCGTGCTACCTGAGTTAAATTGTTCAACTAAATTTTAATTACAGTTTTTAAACCCAATGGTTGGGTTTTTCCATATTTGACCCAATGCTGGGTTATAACATAACAACCCAGATTTTTTTTTTTAGAGTTTATACTGCAGTTGTTGTTTTTTTTTTTAAAGGGGACCGAGGGTGTGCCGCGTCGCGGGGGCACTTTTGATCATTTTGGAAGGTTACTTTCTATCCAAGACTAAAAAGGGCATGTGCACTGCACAGGTTGAGCCCTATGTGTGCACGTGCCTGCTCCGCTGGATACTCCCAAAATAATTCTGCAGAAATCCGCAGATTTTTACCAAACTTCTCAGCAGAAATAGCAAAAAGCGTCCGCAGATTCCATCTGGCCCTGCTAATTAGGCAGGTTATTGTGTAATGATGGTTTCTTCTGTAGACTATCGAAAAAAATACAGCTTAAAGGGGCTAATAATTTTGACCTTAAAATTGTGTTTGAAAAAATTAAAAACTGCTTTTATTCTAGCTGAAATAAAACAAATCAGACTTTCTCTAGAAGAAAAAATATTATCAGACATAATGTGAAAATTTCCTTTCTCTGTTAAACATCATTTGGGAACTATTTAAAAAATAAAAACAAAATCAAAGGGGGGCGAATAATTCTGACTTCAACTGTATATGTATATCTTGTTAGTGAATGCAGTAATTCAGTTTGAATTTATCTTTATTAAGAGTATAGCAGTCAAAGTGAATAAACAAGCATTAGCAATGGGATACACATGAGATTTTTAGCCTAGTTCAAGTAAATAAGGATTAACCGCCTTCACTTTAATCTCTGCTTGCATTCTTTTAACCTTCAAATGAATTTCTAATGGACAAAACCAAAAAGTCTCTGCCTTTCCTCCCGCTGGATATCTTGTTTGAGTTGGAAACGTTTCTCTTTAGAGAAGTGAAATGGGTTGTAAATGTTTCACAATGACTTTAAAGTTGGTTCAGCGCTGAATATCTAATATCCCATCTTGATTTTCTCTGTGTTGTTGATGTATTCGCCTATAGGAAGCTCGAGGCTCCTCTGACACAATCATGTTTAATGTTGAGATATTCTCTGGGCCCACAGGAGGACGCTTCTTTCTTATTCTAGTTAAAGCAATACTTCTTGACTTTGGTGTATATAATGAAGAAATGCTAGAGAAAGCTGCTTATTAGGAATATTTATTTGATATTAATCTTACTAGTGCATGTGCTCATGTAGAATTATGCTAATACCCTTACATCTAAAGCTTTGTCTATGATAACCATTGAAGAAATATGAAAATATAGAGAATAATTCTGAATGCTTAAAGGCGATGATGCCATTATATGACTGCTTCTCATGCTTTTTATAATAAAAAATAAAAATAAGTGATAAAAACGTAGGTAATAGAAAGAAATATCTATATATTTCATCATTTAACCCATATATTTCACCATATATTTAACATTTAATAGACGTCTGTACTTTTTTCACTGTATAATATTTCTCTTAGTTGTTTTAATGCAATATAATAGATAACATCCACTTAATTGGATGCAGGATGTTGTAATTGAATGTCATTTTAATTTGACATGTTTGTGTATTTGACATTAATAGGATGAAAAGGGACACCAGCTTGTATGAATGCATCTTTGTGTGTAGCCTAGATGTTGATGTTTGTATTATTAATGTCTATAATTAATTGCAAGTTAATAAAAGTAGAAGAAATGTTAATGTTGAGCGCATCTTGTTTTAAAAAGTCATTTCAGTGTGCAGCGAACTATTCCTGGAATTTACAGTATTAAAGAGCACCTATTATGCCCGTTTTTACAAGATGTTTAATAAGTCTCTGATGTGTCTAGTGTGTGTGTGTGTGTGTGTGTGTGTGTGTGTGTGTGTGTGTGTGTGTGTCAAAATAACCCACACATAATGTTTTATAAATTTTTGAAAGTGCCCATTTTATGCTTTGATCTAAATTGAGTCATTTTGGTTGCTGTCGCTTTAGATTCAAATGAGATTGTGCTCCCAGCCTTTCTTTCAAATTTAAATTCAGCAGGTATGCTTGAAAAACCCCAATGGCTGATGGCTGCTTCTCACTCAGGGCTGTTGATGCTAATGAGGGAGAGATGGTCACCAGTGGGCGGGGCTTTTTTTTTACTTCTGATGACACTTTCAAAGGGAGAAGGTCAATCAAAGTGTTTCCGCTGACAGTTTTTATTAAGTGTGATTATAAACAAATATAATCAATGTATTTTTACCATTAGACGGCTGGGTAAATTCACACAATGTGACCACAAAACACCTTATAAAAGTGATTTTGCATAATATGTCCTGTTTAAAAGTAATCTGCTTGGTAAGTGTGACGTCACGCGAAGCGGCATTCCATGTCCAAGCGCTCTATTCAACTGTATGGGGAGACCCATGAAATGGTTATTATAAACATTTACAAAGCGATTTAATACTTTCGAAACTCACAATCACAATATATATGTCCATGCCTATTATCCAATGGCCAGAAAGTGATTCATTTTTTTTTTTTATAAATTGTTAATATTTTGGTATTTGTTATGCAGCAAGCCCAGAGATTGTAGTGTACACTATGACTTTATGTAAAATTAACTTTAATGTGTGATATGAATAAAAAGTGATCATAAACGAATAATTTCTCCACTCAAATGAGTGGCGGCTTGGACTCGGAAACAATATTACATACGTCACCAACACGTCACCACTTAACAAGCGGATAGTTTGCAATGAAGAACTATAGACAAAAACACTGTGAAATCCATTAATGATCAGTTGTTTTCTCCTGAACGTTGACTAAGTTTTTATTTATATATGAGTGATTTTAGAGTTGTGGGTATATTTAGCATTTCCAAATTAAACCTTTTATTGTTTTTCAAAAGCAAAACCAAATTTTGATAATAAAAAGAAAAAAAAAATCATGTTTGTATGCAAACCATTTTGATTATGTACCCCTATACATTTCTGGAGAGCACCAAATACGTCCCAGAAGCTAAGATTTTTTTGCAGTTTTTGTTTTCGCGAATTCACCAGAGGCTGCGGTGTACGCTTTTTAGATTTCGAATTTCTCTTGCGAGTGCCATTCGCGCCTGCTGTTCTTGAATAAATCCACCAGAGGCTGCTGGGTATGCTTTTTGAGATCTCAAATTTCTCTTGCGAGTGCCATTTGTGCCTGCTGTCGACTGACTGATTGACTGACTGCCTGATCAATCGATCCTCCCCACCCTCCCCCTTTTCTAAACCCAACTGATAGTGTTTTAAAAAGGACTAATTGACCAGCAACCACCCACCCTGTCGTCGCAGTCAATTCCACTCTAAATCCGCTAAAAGATGCGGAGAGCCACTGAATAAACGAGTAACAGCAGAAAAGCCTTCTATATGGAGGTAAGCGGTCAGCTGGTGAGAAAAGCAACGGCATCACACCGCCCAGTAGCATTCGTTTCAAAGACAAAATGCAGCTATACGTAATTCTGACTACATAATTCGGCTCTCTCCAGAAATGTATATAAGGCTACATTTTTAGAATGAGCCTCTGTTGCAGCCAGTTATTCATAGCATTTACCAGATTTTTTTAAGGTAAGTGGTTGCAAACAATTCTTATGGGCTGACTTTAAACAAACAAATGTAGTTGAACTTTACTAAATAGATTTTTTTTAAATACAGCCAATATTAATTGGCACCTGTTTTACCCCTTTTTAAAGAATTGAATAATTCTTTTGAGTCTCCAGAATGTGTCTGTAAAGTTTCAGCTTAAAAAACTCAGCAGATTATTTAATATACCTTTCAGAATGTTGAGATTTCCTGCTTTGAACACGCAGTAGTTGTTTTTGTGACTTGTGCCTTTAATGCTAGTTCTTCCCGCCCATTGTTCCCACGTGCCTGTCAGAGTGTGCCTCCGTCTCTGCCTCGACTGCGACAGATAAACAGACAGACATGAACGAAGCAGATCTCACGTAACATTTGTGAGAAACACTACAGTAAGAACTTTCCCAATGATTATTTGATGTATTTGTTATGGAGCTAATTCAAGCCTTTCTGCATTGATGAGTCACACACATTGTCGTCACAAGGTTCACGCTCACACACGGACACACAAACATTTTTGCACAGCAAATGTGATAGCATACACATTATTTCCACTGCTGTATGGATTTCCGCTATGTTAATGTACAAAATAAACCTGATTTGAAACTGGGATTGAAGTGTCTTCTTTTATACTTGTATTGACATTTGGCAGTGATGATAAAGTAAAGCTGAAGTAGATTCGCTGTAATTCATTACACACATGCACTGTTTTAAAAACGTTTTAAACTTGTAAAATTAATTCTCAATCACTTTTGATGATGATTGATGATCACAGAGCGCAGAACAGATCTTTTAATCCCATGTGCTTTGCGCACGTCCTGTCTTGTTGATATAATTATACGCGTTAATACAAAGACATGTTAATACGCGGCTGTCAATCAATTCGGTGGGCAGAGAAACCGCACTCCTACGTCAAGTTGTGGTCGACCTCAAAATGGGAGGGATTTGTATCCTATTTTAAAGTCAAGAAATTTAAATAAAGAGATTTATTGTATTTCTATCACTCCAATGTTGATGTGGACATACTCCTCCATAGCTGCCAACACTCCCGTTTTTCCCAGGAGTCTCCCGTATTTCAGACCAATCTCCTGCAAATGTCCCGTTTTGTTATTTCTCCAGGAAAAATCCCATCATTTCACCTGCAACAACCCCCCCCCCCCCCCTTTTTTTTTTTTGGTCCTCCTGTAACACCCCCGGGTCGCCAACTTTGGTATGTATCCAGTCGCAGCGACCACCAAAAACCCGGTGCATAACACAGTTACTAACACCACAGTACAGTTACCTTCCTATACTGGTTCTCAACAGTGTTATTCAGAGACCTCAACCCCGAACACGCCCCCACCCCCGGTCTCCTGGCCCCCGGTCTCCTGGGATTTCAGAGATAAATAATGGCAGGTATGCTCTAAACACACACACAGTTCTGTCCAAACAACTAATAATTTTCATAATAGGTGCCCTTTAAAAAAACGAGTACATCCAATGTATAATTTTTTCAGTGTATTCAATTTTCAATGAACTATCCCTTTAAGCACTATGGCTGCCATCTTTCTTCATGCACTTCCAATCTCTTCCTTGTCATTATTCATCATCTTTATCCTCATGTGAGAGATGCACCACTGGCTTTGCTGAGCAGACAGTGGCCTTGTTTCCCATTGGAGAGAGCTGTTGTAATAGGATAGTTTAGAGATTACAGGTAAGACGCCCAAGACCTCTAACTTTGTCCAAATCCAGTGTGTCTCACCCAAGCATGGGCATGGAGGTGCAAGGGCACTGAGTGGGCATCTCGGGGGGGATCACCACACAAAACATCCGGTCTGACCTTTGCTAACGGATTAATTGACGACGGCATACAGAATAGCGGCTGAATTGTTTGGATAAAACTGAATTTATTGAACAACTGAAGGATTACACCGAGTACTTATCTACTTTTTTATTTTATTTCTGCAGCTTCAGCTCAATTCGCGGGAACTTCTCATTTTTAATAGCTTATTTTCAACACTTCCTTTTTTTCGGTCAAGTTTACTCCATTATAATCTATCACAATGGTCGTGGGTAAGATGAAGTTCACGTTTCAGAAAAGGGTGAAGTTGGCCCAGGGTTTATGGATGCTGTCGTGGTTGGCGACGGTTGGTGGAGCGATCACCTTCACTTTAGGATGCTTCCTAAAGACTGAGCTACGAAGGAGGGGAGAGGTATCCATAAAACCGTCATATTTGTATTTTATTTTGTTTTATTTTTGCTAATTTAATGCATCATGTGCAATATTTAATGCAATCCCATTTATTATTCCTTTATTATTTATTTTATTGATTTAATTTATGTTTTATTTTATTATTTATTGATAAAAAATGTATTTTATTTAATTTTTGCTAACAATTAAATGCATTGTGTAACGTTATAAATATTTCATGCAATCACATTTATGATTCCTAATCATTTACTTTGTTGACTGAAAATATATAATTAATTTATTTTATTGTTATATTTTTTGATAGAAAATATATTTTATTTTATTTATTTTGTTATTTGTTGATTAAAAATATATTTTAAAAACACTTATTGATTGAAAACATATTTTATTTTTATATTTATATTATTATTTATTGATTGAAATTATATTTTATTTTATCATTTATTGATTAAAATATATTTTATTATTTTAATATTAATATTTATTAATTGAAAATATATTTTATTTATTTTATTTTATTATTCATTATTATTTATTGATTGAAATATATTTTATTTTATATGAATATTTTTTAAATGAAAATGTATTTTATTTTATTTATTTTATTTTAATATTTATTTATTGATTCAAATATGTTTTATTTATTAATAGAAATTTATTTTATTATTTTTTTGCTAACAATTTAGTGCATTCTGTGCGATATTCTAAATATTTCATGCAATCACAGTTATTATTTCGAAACTTCAAAAGAGACATTGACATTGAGTGTTAGGCTAATAGTTCCACTTTAAGTTATTTAACTTTTGTGGGATATTGTTTTGTATGATAACCTAATTTGGGGACCTTATTAAGTTTGCAGAAGACAATCTAACAGGGTTGCCCAAACTTGGTCCTGCAGATTTCCAACTTGCCTCCACACACCTGCATGGATGTTTCTAGAAAGGCTAGTATACGACCTTGATTAGCTAGCCCAGATGTGTCTGATTGGGGTTGTAAATTAAACTAAACTAAACTAAACTACAGGACACTGATACTCCAGGACAGAGTTTGGGCACCCCTGTTATAGAATCTCAATTGGATTTGTCAAATGTCTTAATGAAAAACGATGTTAAAGGGATTGTTCACCCAAAAATTAAAACGCTGTCATCATTTTCTCACCCTTTGTTTGTTCAACACCTGTTTGAATTTCTTTCCTCTGTTAAACACTCTCTCTCACACACACACACACACACACACACACACACACACACACACACACACACACACACGCACAAAATATTTTGAAAAACGCTGGTTTCTGTTGCCCATTGAATTTCATAGTATTTTTTTCTTTTCTATGGAAGTTGATTAATGCCAGCAACTAGCACTCTTCAAAATATCTTCTTTCGTGTTTAACAGAAGAAAGAAACATTTACAGCCACATAAAGGATGCTATGATGAGTTAATTTTCATCTTTGAGTGAACTGTCTCTTTAAGGGCTCAAACGGTTCACAAGTGTCTGGCAGGGATTAACCCATATGAATATAAATATTATCTAAGCCAGTCATAATAGGCTTAAGGAGCTGTCCTTTACAAATGAGCTCCTCCACAGTCTATGGGTCAGAGAAACAATGGCATCTGTCTTAAGCAGGCCATACATGATTATACTGCATAGATTTTCCACACCAGTGATTTTATATTCACATATACAGTACGTAGAGTTTGAATATTTTCATTATTATTGAATAAATGACTACTCAAAAAATGAAAATGATAATATTACACTCAAATATTCATATTTTATTATTTATTTATTTATTGCTACTTGTTCAAACTACTTGAAATGAGCTAAAACAACACACTTCTGGATATTTGTTGAGGGAAAACTTAATTATTTTATGCTCAATCCACTTAAATTTGTTAACTTAATGGTTTTGTGTTGGTACAATGTGAATTGTGTGGAGCCCTATTTTTTTTTCTTTTTTACAGTGTAAGCATACTAGAAATTGACTTGATTTACACAAATATATATATGCAGTGCTCAGCTAATCTGTTAATTATTTAAAATAGCCTTAGATCCAGGATTATCACAGTAAAAAAAACATAAAAACATTTTGTTAAAAATAAATTAAACTTTTAATTTAGGTAGTTTAAGTTATACGATAGTGGCGCATTAGGTAGTGCTGTCGCCTCACAGCAAGAAGGTCGCTGGTTCGAACCTCGGCTCAGTTGGTGTTTCTGTGTGGAGTTTGCATGTTCTCCCTGCCTGCGTTCCCCCACAGTCCAAAGACATGTGGTACAGGTGAATTGGGTAGGCTAAATTGTGCGTAGTGTATAAGTGTGTGTGTGAATGTGTGTGTGAATGTTTCCCAGAGATGGGTTACGGCTGGAAGGGCATCCGCTGCGTAAAAACTTGCTGGATAAGTTGGTGGTTCATTCCGCTAATACCCAGGATTAACAAAGGGACTAAGCCGACAAGAAAATGAATGAATGAAAGTAATACAATAATGTAACGTGAACTGCATAAAGCAGGTATATAGAAATCTGATACATGAAAATATATGCAAATATGACATACAAGTTAGATTTAGATTTTCCTTATAAGTATGCAAATAAAAAAGTAAAGATTTCTAAATTTACTTTTGTTTCATTGCAAATGACAATACAACAAACATTATTTAATGTGCTCCTCATGATTTTTAATAGTTTTTTTTTTTTTTTTCAAAACACATATTCCAATTTTGGTTCTTGCAACACATTAAAAAAAAAAGTTGTCACAGTAAATCGTTTACCACTTTGTAATGTTGCCATTCCTTTTCACAGCACTTAAAAGATGTTAAGGGACTGCAGACACCAAGTTACATGTTTAATTTTGTCCATTACTGCAAACAAGTCTTAAGGTGGGCAATGGGTGGGTATGGGGTCTTCAATGTGCGCCACACATTTTCTATTGGAGACAGGTCAGGACTGCAGGAGGGCCAGTCCAGTCCCTGTATTCTCTTCCTCCTCAGCCAGGACTTTGTAATGTGTGCAGAATGTGGTTTTGCCTTGTCTTGTTAATATATTCATGGGTGTCCCTGGAAAAGAAGGCAGAATATTGTGCTCCAAAATCTCTGTGTACTTTCAGCGTTAATGTTGCCATAACAGAAGTGCAAGTTAACTTTGCCAACGGCACTAACATAACCCAATACCATGACAGACCCTGGTTTTTGGACTTGTTGTTGGTAACAGTCTGGATGATCCTCTTCTTGGAGCGCACGGTGTCCATTTCTCCCCCCCAAAAAAATACCTGAAATACTAATTCATCCGACCACAGTCAAATTCTCTTTAAGGCAAGTCATTTCACTTGGCGGCCATCTTTGTTTGGCATTCTGTATGAATGGGGAAACTTCAAATTCTCCAAAATTGCTTGCCAAGCTTTATGATTGAATTTCATATTAGGAATCAGTATTAAAATTTAACAACAACTGTCCCTTTAGTTTCATTTCGAAACGTCCAAACCACACAAAATCTGCAGAAACTCACGTCTGATTTAAGCCCCTCTCCCGGAGTATTGTCAGCCCATAGCGATTGATGATTGGCTCCTGTTCTAGAAGGCGGGCTTTATTTTCCATATATCTATCAATGATTGGCTCTTGTACTAGAAGGCGGGGCTTTATTCACCATATTGACCGTCACACTTTTCCCCATTCAAAAAGATACAAGTGACACGTCTTGTGTATTCTATAGTCTTTGCCACAGTACACACCTGCCAACTCGGGCTTATTGTGGAAACGTACCCCGCAGACGTTTCTGGAGACCGCAAAATACGTCCCGGGAGGTGTGTATTCGAGCAGTTTTTGTTTTCGCGAATCTGCGAGAGGCCGATGTGGAGCGGCCGTCCGTCCAACTGACTGGCTGAACGATCGACCGGGCGGCCAATCGGCCGCCCTCCTCCTCCTCCTTCCCTAAACCCAAGTGACGATTTGCAAAAGCCGTCGTCCAATTTTGACCACGTTTTCGGATCTCGCCCCGTCGCGAACTTGTTCGCTTTTTTTTTTTTGGATTGTTTTTCATCTTACCTGATTTCTGGAACCACTCTTCCCCGGACTCGATCCCGGTCGTCGCCGTGGCCGGTTCTTCCTCCCACCGGGCCTCTGCTCCGCAGACGTAATGCTGCAAGCTAAGCGGACAAACTGGTTGAGGCGGGAAAGCCCTCCACATGGAGGTGAGCCGTCAGCCGGCGAGCATGAAGAGGAGGAACAGATCGGCGTCATACCGCCCCGCAGCGTTCACTCGATTAAATAAAAAAAAACGCGGCCATACGTACCTCCGGCCACGTAAATTGCGGTCTCCAGAAACGTCCGCCAGGCTACGTTTCCAGAATGAGCTTGGGTTGACATATGCACTGTGTGATGGCCCATCCCATATGCGTCCGAGCCAAGAGAAGTCGACGGTGCTACTGGACACTGTTAATATAGGGCTTACCTTTGGCACAGTACAGTTTTAACTGGCATTTGTGGATGTATCTTCCAGTGTTGGGCAGTAGCGTTGCTACAAGTAGTGACGCTACTAGCTTAGCTACATTTCTCAGTAGTGTGGCGGTAGCGTCGCTACTTTCTAAATCCAATAGCTTTTCAGTAGCGAAGCAATTTTATTAGTCAAGTTGTGCAGTAGCGTCAACACAAGCTACATTTACCAATCGCAGATCAATGAGTGATGGCAGTGACATTCACACAGCTGAGAAGCCGTTGTCTAGCCGATGAAAGTAAATCCATGTGATGGTGGGGATGACGAGTTCTTTTTCTTCCTGTTTTACGGTTGTTGACAACAAACTTTTTGGTGCGTTACTGCCACCTCTAGTCGGTGACGTCGCAAACCAAATTAGGCTAGCACGAGAAACTTCCTTGATGGAAAGATGACTGAGGGAGGAGTAATTTCTGAAGCAGGAGTTTTCTGACCATACCTCGAGATGTACATGTTAAGATGCAACATCTTAATTTCTGATGCTGTGCTCAAAAAAAACTTTAGTAATTTATAGTAAGTACTACTATAAATTACTGCATTATGTAGTGTAATTTATTAATGAGGATTTGTAAATATATATATATATATATATATATATATAACAATATGCATAATGCTAATGTCAAAATATTTCCCTTTACAATAAATTACTATAATATTTTAATGGTGTATCAACTAGTTTTATTGGATTTTTTGTTTTAGCTGTTACATACTATGCGTTTAGTACATAGTATACTATCTGTTTAGTACAGCATATTATTTGCAGTAAATAACTGAACTATTGTGCCTCATATGTTTCATTGACAGTTTTATTGATCACTAAGATATGATTGACTTGAATTTAAGTTGCTTCAATTTAAAAATAAAAATTGTACAAATATACATCCTAATTTATATCCTAAATGATGTGTAACAAAGCAAGGACATTTCCATAGTATGACTGATAATATTTTTAATAAGTTGTATTTGTTTTAATTCGACTAGAATAATAGCAGTTTTTAATTTTTTATAAAACCATTATATTTTTTCGATAGTCTACAGAACAAACCATCGTTATACAATAACTTGGCTAATTACCCTAACCTGATAAGTTTCCTGCCTTTTAATATCACTTTAAGCTGTATAGAAATGTCTTGAAAAATATCTAGTCAAATATAATTTACTGTCATCATGACAAAGATAAAATAAATCAGTTACTAGAGATGAGTTATTAAAACTATTTTATTCTCCGGTAAACAGAAATTGAGGAAAAAATTAAACGGGGCAAATAATTCAGGTGGGCTAATAATTCTGACTTCAACTGTATATTTACAAATGAAATGAAGTTGACCAGGGCGAGGCAGTGGTGCAGTAGGTAGTGCTGTCGTCTCACAGCAAGAAGGTCGCTGGGTCGCTGGATCAAACCTCGGAAACGCTCAGTTGGCGTTTCTGTGTGGAGTTTGCATGTTCTCCCTACGTTTGCGTGGGTTTCCTCTGGGTGCTCCGGTTTCCCCCACAGTCCAAAGACATGCGGTACAGGTGAATTGGGTAGGCTAAATTGTCCATAGTGTAGGAGTGTGTGTTTATGTGAGTGAATGTGTGTGTGAATGTTTCCCAGAGATGGGTTGCGGCTGGAAGGGCATCCGCTGCATAAAAATGTGCTGGATAAGTTTGCGGTTCATTCCGCTGTGGCGACCCCAGATTAATAAAGGAAGTAAGCCAACAAGAAAATGAATGAATAATTGAATGAAGTTGACAAGACAAAATATGAAATGTTTTGTGTTCATATTTCTGCAATGAAATACAAGTCAAAGTAAATTTGGCATTTTCTATACTGTCATAATGATTTGGGGTCGAAAATTAATACAGCCCCAACTTAACAAATTCACCAGAGTCTCTTTATTAATATAACAGACACCTATTTTACACCTATATTATTGCATTACCCGAAAGTTTTCCAGTATCCTTAAAAGCTGAAAACAATTGTCTAAATTAGTTTTTGCTATGCTATTTTGAAAGATAAAGTCTCAAAATGTCAACAACCTGATGTACACAATACATGCAAAATGCAGTCTGTCTGACATTAACATCCTGCTTTCCGTCAGGTAATGGACAACACAGACATCCATTGTGTGCCCAACACCTTGATGATTGTTGGTCTGGCTTCGATGGGCGGCAATTACTTTGCCAGTCGAATCTGCCAGGATGCCCTGGATGCCGGGCGTTTCCCACGGTGGAAGACCTACATGAAGCCTTTTTTTGGCTGCTCCATTTTCTTCACCACCCTCATGTTGATTTCAATCATCTTGAGTTACATCATGAAGGGCAGCCTGGAGACCTCGCTGAAAATCGGCCTGAAGAACGGCATCCGCTTCTACAAGGACACCGATATCCCTGGCCGCTGCTTCCAAAAGCAGACCATCGACCGGCTTCAGATGGAGTTCCACTGCTGCGGAAACACAGACTACAGGGATTGGTTCGAGGTGCAGTGGATCAGCAACCGCTACCTGGATTTCAGCTCTAAGGAAGTTAAGGAGTGAGTAAAACAGAATTTTAGTCAAAGAAATAGCTCATCCTAAAAATAAAAATTCTGCCATCCTGTACAGTGTTAAAAATTTCCTGCAGAATTTACGGTAACTTACTGTAGATCAATTACAGCAAAAGTACTGTATTTACATTTACAACACTATTTACCTTGCTCTATATGCATTTATAATATTGTATATCTTATTGTATTGTATATCTTTACCGTCATTTCCACTTTAATACTTTAAAATACAGTAATATACCGCATACCTGTCCAACAGCAAAATACAGTTCACATGAGACCAATTACAGCAAAAGTACTGCATTTATATTTACATCACTATTTATCTTATGTATGTATTTACAGTATTGCATATAATTACTGTAAAATATAGTAACTTTCACAATGCAACTTTAAAATACAATAAGATAGGGATAACTGTAAAATTTAGTTCATATTACAGTTCAATTCGCAAGTAAATTACAGTAAATCAATTACAGCAAAAGTACTGTATTTACATTTACAGCACCATTTATCTTGCTGTATATATTTACAGTATTGTATGCCTTCACTGTAAAACATGGTCATTTCCACAATGCAACTTTAAAATACAGTAGCATACTGCATAAGTGTCTCACAGTATAATACAGTTCACATCCGATCAATTACAGCAAAAGTACTGTATTTGCATTTACAGCACCATTTATCTTGCTGTATATGTATTTACAGTATTGTATATATTTATTGTAAAATATGCAGTCTTTCCACTATGCAACTTTAAAATACAGTAAGATACTGCATAACTTTCCCACAGTAAAATTTAATTCATAATACAGTTCAGTTCACCTTTACCTTACTGTAAATCAATAACGGCAAAAGTACTGTATTTACATTTACAACACTATTTACCTTGTTATGTATGTATTTACAGTATTGCATATAATTACTGTAAAATATAGTAATTTTCACAATGCAACTTTAAAATACAATAAGATATGGATAACTGTAAAATTTAGTTCATATTACAGTTCATTTCGCCAGTAAATCACAGTAAATCAATTACAGCAAAAGTACTGTATTTACATTTACAGCACCATTTATCTTGCTGTATGTATATTTACTGTATTGTAAATCTTCACTGTAAAACATGGTCATTTCCACAATGCAACTTTAAAATACAGTAGCATACTGCATAACTGTCCCACAGTAAAATACAGTTCACATACGATCAATTACAGCAAAAGTACTGTATTTACATTTACAGCACCATTTATCTTGCTTTATATGTATTTACAGTATTGTATATATTTACTGTAAAATATGCAGTCTTTCCACTATGCAACTTTAAAATACAGTAAGATACTGCATAACTTTCCCACAGTGAAATTTAATTCATAATACAGTTCAGTTCACCTGTAACTTACTGTAAATCAATTACGGCAAAAGTACTGTATTTACATTTACAACACTATTTACCCTGTTGTGTATGGATTTACTGTATTGTATATATATATATATATATATATATTGTAAAATATATAGTAATTTCCACAATTATACTTTAAAATACAGTAATTTACAGCATACCTGTCCAACAGTACAATACAGTTCACATAAGATCAATTACAGCAAAAGTACTGTATTTACATTTGCATCACTATTTACCTTGTTTACATATAATTTGCACTATTTACATATAACTACTGTAAAATATCGTAATTTTCACAATTCAACTTTTAAATACAGTAGCATACTGCATAACTGTCCCACAGTAAAACTGAGTTCATTTTATAGTTCAGTTCATCAGTAACTTACTGTAAATCAATTACAGCAAAAGTACTGTACAGGGTGGGCCGTTTATATGGATACACCTTAATAAAATGGGAGTGGTTGGTGATATTACCGTTCTGTTTGTGGCACATTAGTATATGTGAGGGGGCAAACTTTTCAAGATGGGTGGTGACCATGGTGGCCATTTTGAAGTCGGCCATCTTGGATCCAACTTTTGTTTTTTCAATAGACAGAGGGTCATTTGACACATCAAACGTATTGGGAATTTCACTAGAAAAACAATGGTGTGCTTGGTTTTAATGTAGCTTTATTCTTTCATGAGTTATTTAGAAGTTCCTGACCACTTATAAAATGTGTTCAATGTGCTGCCCATTGTGTTGAATTGTCAATGCAACCCTCTTCTCCCACCACCCATCTTGAAAAGTTTGTCCCCTCACATACTAATGTGCCAAAACAGGACATTAGTATCACCAACCATTCCCATTTTATTAAGGTGTATCCATATAAATGGCCCACCCTGTATTTATATTTACAGCACTATTTACCTTGTTGTGTATGTATTTACTGTAAAATATATAGTGATTTCCACAATGCAACTTTAAATTACAGTAATATACTGCATAACTGTCCCACAGTAAAATTTAGTTAATCATACAGTTCAGTTTATCATTAACTTACTGTAAATCAATTACAGCAAAAGTACTGTATTTACATTTACAACACTATTTACCTTGCTGTGTATGTATTTACAGTATTGCATTTATTCACTGTAAAATATACTGTAATTTCCACAATACAACTTTACAATGCAGTAACATATTGCATAAATGTTCTACAGTAAAATTCAGTTCATATTACAGTTAAATACCGTGTAATTTACACAAATCGTTAACAGTTTATGAGGTTCTGCCTTCTGTTAAATACAAAGGAAGATATACTGACGAATGTTGTAAAAAAGCAGCCATTGACTTTCATGGTATATTTAGTTCCTACTATTGATGTCAATTGTTGTTTTTTTCCCTCAACTTTTTTTTTAACATATCTAGTTATCTGTTAAACAGAAGAAGAAACTCATACAGGTTTAGAAGAAGACCCACATAGCAAAATTTCTCTGGCCCAGCTCTGGCCCACACAATCAGGTTTTGCTTGGCCCACATGCTGCAGTGAATTACGGTACATGACTGGACCAAATCTGGCTTCCAGACAAGAGCCAAACACGGACCATATCTGGGCCAAGTCTCAGCCAAGTTAATAACTCATAACTGGGCCTGAACTGGGCCAGATGGGTTGGTGTGTCACGGTTGCAATGAAATTGATAAACCCATGGAGTGATGAGCTTTAGGCACACTATGGGCACGCTTTTTCTCAAAGTGACCTGATTGGTAGATTTTTTTTTTCTTTACTCAAAAATGATTTTAGTGTATTTTAAGTGTGGGTCAAGACTGGCCAAACTCACATGGCCCACTTATCAAATTTTTAAATCTGGGCCAAATACTAAGTTTTTCATCTGTCCCAAATCTTGTGTGCCGCCTTAAAGACGGTGCCACCTCTGCCAAAACCGGGCCATGTTTGGCCCACATGCTGTATGCCAGTGCCGGATGAATGCCTGCTGTGCCAGCTTTTTGCCAAATCTGGGCCAGAATTCTTTGCTACTAGGGGAGTAAATAATGATAGTATTATTTACGTCTTCAAACCTGCTCGTGGAGATCCAGACTGTATCCAAAATCTCCCCTATACCCTTAAATTGTTTTTAACAGCGTCATTAATATTTAATGACATTTTAATTACAAATTCGGCTTGTACTACTCTAGTTGAGGTGAAACAAAATGTTAATGACAGTAAAAAAATCATGACATATATACACTCACTGGCCACTATATTAGGTACACAAGTCTGAGATGATTCACTCTTTATGACACGGTGAGTTATCTTGCTGAAAGTAGCCTTCTGTGGGCATAAAGGGATGGATATGGTCAGCAACAATATAGGTGTACTGTGTTGTTGACATGATGCTCATTTGGTACTAATGGGCCCAAAATGTGCCAAGAAAATATGCCCCACACCATTACACCACCACTACCAGCCTAAATTGTTAATACAAGGCAGGGTGGATCCATTCTATCTTGTTGTTGATGCTTAATTCTGAACATACCATCTTAGCAAAAATCAGGACTCATTAGAGCAGGGAACGTTTTTACAATCTTCTATTGTTTAATTTTGGTGAGCCTGTGTGAATTGTAGCCTCAGTTTCCTGTTCTCAGCTGACAGGAGTGGCACCTGTTGTGGTCTTCTGCTGCTGTAGCCCATCCGCCTCAAAGTTGGACGTATTGTGTGTTCAGAGATGCTCTTTTGCAGACCTCGGTTGTAATGAGTGGTTATTTGAGTTACTGTTGTCTTTCTAACAGTGGGAACCAGTCTGGCCATTCTCCTCTGACCTCTGGCATCAGCAAGGCATTTGCGCCCACAGAACCACCGCTCACTAGATATTTCCTCTTTTTCAGATCATTCTCTGTAAACCCTAGAGATGGTTGTGTGTGAAATCCTAGCAGATCAGCAGTTTCTGAAATACTTAGACCAGCCCGTCTGGCAACAACGACCATGCCACGTTTAAACACAGTTAAATCACCTTTCTTACCCATTCTAATGCTCAGTTTGAACTGCAGCAGATCATCTTGACCCTATCTACATGCCTAAATACATTGAATTGCTGCCATGTGATTGGCTGAGTAGAAATTTGCGTTAACGAGCAGTTGCACAGGTGTACCTAATAAAATGGCCGGTTAGTGTATAATGGCTTAACTACAAACATGTTTATGACAAATTTATTACAAGTTTCTAGGTAATGTCAAGTTGTCATGACAAAAACAGGTTGTGATGTATATGTTTAAGGGCGAACTATGCCTTTAACAGGTCCCTTTAACACTCCTTTTGTCTTCATGCTTAATCTGCCAGCCGCATTAGGAGCAATGTCGACGGCCGCTATTTGGTGGACGGTGTGCCCTTCAGCTGCTGTAACCCCAGCTCTCCCAGACCCTGCATTCAGTACAAAATCACCAACGACTCTGCCCACTACAACTACGAGCACGAGACGGAGGAGCTCAACCTCTTCATCCACGGCTGCAGGGAAGCTCTGGTCAACTACTTCATGGGGCTGATGAACACCATTGGAGCCGTCGTTCTGTCCGTCTTTCTCATTCAGGTATGGTCAAAGGTCGAACTGCACATTACTGAAATCACGTGACAATAAGACATTATAAACACTTTGAAAAAAATGATAATGCCCCAAAACAGTATATACAATATATACGGGAAGTTAGAATTATTAGCTCCCCTTTAAATTTTTTTCTTTTTAATTTATTTCCCAAATGATGTTTAACAGAGCAAGGAAATATTCACAGTATGTCTGATAATATTTTTTCTTCTGGGGAAAGTCTTATTTGTTTTATTTCAGCTACAATAAAAGCAGTTTTTAATTGTTTAAACACCATTTTAAGGTAACTTCAGCAGCTTCGTGTACGTGAACAAAAGTGGCAATCTGATTGGTGGAGAAGGTTTTGACGCGGTGCGTCGAGACAAAAAAACAAGCATGAGGCGTTTCTTTAAAAATGACACTTTTACACCTGGCGTTTTGCGCGTTGGTGTGCACGATCACGTTGGCGCCCTTTATTTAGTCACGAGGCGTTAAACGTCGACTGAAAACGCGAGCAAAAAACATCCCGGTGTGCACGGGCCTTTAGAATGTTCTAAATGAATAGGGCATAGGGGGAATAACTGGAAATAGAACACAGCCAGGAACTATGTTTCTTACTACAGCTCCAGAGGTGTAGTTGCAAGTGCACAAGTTTGTAACACAGTTTGCGAATGTTTGTTGGAATGATGGATTTGAGTAACGCCAAATTAAGGAACTATGTTTGTAATGATGGAACTTGCGACTTTAGTTGGCTAATGATGGTTTTGGGAAACGCACTCCTGCCTAGTTAACCTAATTAACCTAGTTAAGCCTTTAAATGTCACTTTAAGCTGTGTAGAAGTGTCTTGAAAAATATCTAGTCAAATATTATTTACTGTCATCATGGCAAAGATAAAATAAATCAGTTATTAGGGATGAGTTATTAAAACTATTAAGTTTAGAAATGTGTTGAGAAAATCTGCTCTCCAATAAACAGAAATTGGGGAAAATAAACAAGGAGGCTAACAATTCAGGGGGGCTAATAATTCTGACTTCAACTGTACATACTTTATAAATATGAAAAATAACAGAGTAATAGGATTCCCTCAAAAATATGTTTGCTGTTCGTTCAAAATACTTGAGTTCATGAGTTTTTTTTACACAATTCTTGAGTTTTTTTGGGACAACTTAATGATCTACATTCAATGCACTTAATTTGTAAAAATTTAAATGTTTACTTAATTCCTTAATGTGTTGTCCCAACACAAAACAAATGTGTGGAACCCGGCGAATGTGTGATTTTAACAGTGAATAACCATACAAATAAAAGGAAAGAAAGAAAGAAGCATTGGGGGTTTTACACAATACAAATTAAACATACAAAATTCATTCATTCGTTTTCCTTCAGCTTAGTCCCTTTATTCATCAGGGGTCACAACAGTGGAATGAACCGCCAACTATATCCAGCTTATGTTTTACACAGCGGATGCTCTTCCAGCTGCAACCTATCAATGGGAAACATCCACACACATTTATTCACCCACATACATTACGGACAATTTCAACCCAGGCTCATTGTGGAAACGTAGTCCCGCGGACGTTTCTGGAGACCGCGGAATACGTCCCGGCGGGAACGTAAGGCTGCAGTTTTTGTTTTCACGAATCCGTGAGAGGCCACTGTTGTGCGCTTTTTCGCACCTTAGACGCCTCTTGCGAGCGCGGTTCGCGCCCGCGCTGTTCTCGCGTGAACCCGCCGGAGGCCGCTGTCCGACTGACCGGATGATTGACTGCGCGACCAGCCAATCGGCCGACTTGCCCTCCTCCTTCCCTGAACCCAACCAATTTTACCGATCGACTCGCCCGCCCACTCGCTTCCCTAAATCCGAGCAACAGTTCACAAAAGTCGTCCAAAAAAATAAAAGCCCTGATTTTTTTTTATTCTACTGCGTTTTCGGATTTCGCTGCGTTCTCACCCTGTCACGAAACTCGTTCACTTAATTTTTGGGATTGCGTTTTCGTCTTACCTTATTGCTGAAACTGCTCTTCCCCGGACTCGAAATTGGTCGCCGTGGTCGACCCCTCTCTGCATCTCGAGCCTGCCGACGTACACGCTGAGATGAGTGGACAAACGGGTTGCAGCGGGGAAGCCCTCCACAAGGAGGTAAGGCAAGCGTGAAAGGGAACAGCGTCACACTGCCCTACAGCGTTTGCTTGAAAAAAATAAACGCGGCCGTACGTACCCCCCGAGACGTATCCCACTGTCTCCAGAAACGTCCGCGGGACTACGTTTTCAGAATGAGCTTGGGTTGGACAATTTAGCTTACCCAATTCACTTATACCACATGCCTTTGGATTTGAAAGAAATGCCAACTGACCTAGCTGGGGCTCGAACCAGTGACCTCCTGTTATAAAACCAAATTTGTCGGGTATTAGGAGTTGAAACAGCATTTATTACAGTGTAAGATTGGTTATTTTATGGATGAGACCTCTGTGTGATTTTATTCTCACAGTTAATTAACTGAATTCTACATGTTCATGTGTACACATTTTTTCATATTTAGTTTCAGATAATATATTATATATTATGTATGATGTATAATTACCTGTACTAATCAACCATATCTACCCATTCTCTCACACAACCTCCCTTAAATCTTCATCCAGTGCTCGGTGTTGTCTAGCGTGCGCCTCCTGCAAACATCCATGGAAGCGGTAGCCGGACAGGAGAACGTGGAGATCGACACTGAAGGCTACTTGCTGGAGAAAGCCTTGAAGGAGACCATCATGGAGTACGTGGATCCTGTGATGAAGCTCCTTTTGCTGAATCAAGTCGGATCTTCTGAAGATAAAGCAGAAGCAGGAGCCGCAACCAGCTAAAACCATCTTCATCCCACATCTGAAACCTTTCCAGCTGGAGGCTGAGAGTGCTGACAAATCGTCATCAATCCAATAATACATTCATTTCTTTTCATTCGGGTTAAGGCTGGTTTATAGTTCTGCGTCAGGCGTACGTTGTGCTCTAGCGCAGCCTTCACGCGGTCGCAGACCCCTTGCCGTGGCCGACACTGATGCACAGCTCTTGAAAATTGTAACTACATGTCGTAATGGCACGTAGCGCAAGCTCTGTGATTGGTTGGCTTGGTAGCAGTGACATGTGTGGGCGGTGCTAAGAGCCACTTGATCCCAATGGAGTGAGTGTTTACAAGTGTTGAGTCCTGTGTTTACCTCATAATTAAAGACGTTGGACGTCCGCCGGTTCCCACTTCTGAATAAGCAAGTTTTAGCTACTTGTACATTAAGGTAGCGTTCAGATAAAACAAAACACCAGCGAAGAAACTCGACACAGAGAAACATAAAAGCCTCCTGCCAGCTAGCACTTGGGAAGAGTTATTGCAGAGCAACACAAACAGCATGCAGAAGTATAAATGCACGACGCGCAAGGCAGGCGCTATGGGTCACGGCGATCACTTGACACAGAAGCATAAATCAGCCTTTAGTCCTTTGTTTATGAGGGGTCACCACAGCGGAATGAACCACCAATTCAATAATTCATCTATTGGTATTTACAAATCTCCACTCAATGACTGAAATGAATGAATGGTAACACTTTACTTGTAGGGGCGTTTATAAGACTGTCGAGAAACCTTTATAATCATAATATGACACGTTGTGAATGAGATTTTTTGCTTGCTTACGACAACTATTTAGTGTCATTTGCTCATTTTAAATGCAAAGATGACATTGTTTGCTATGGTAACTTGACTCTCACTACCAGTCTTCATCTTTGTCGGTAATTTGACATTACCAAGACAACTTAACTTGTCATAAATCTGTCACAAGATTGCCATAAGGACATTATAATTGTGTCATGTGATCACATTTTCAGTGGAACAAACTGTATTTGTCATTGAAATGTCTCAAGTGTCATTACTCTGTCAAATCATTTTTAACAGCGTCATTAATATTTAATGACATTTTAATTACAAATTTGGCTTGAACTGCTGTAATTGAGGTTATATATATACTTTACTAGCAAGACGTCTCTTCCTTTTAAAGTGGAAACACGTCTCTCCACCCTCTTGATGCATGGATAAAAGAAGTGTTTACTTGCATTAGATTGAAAACGGTTATACTATCACTTACTGGCTTTTTAAAGACCTTTGACAAGGTGTGGCGCCCTTTTTTTAGATTATTTGCTGGCTAACTCTCTTGATTATTAAGCTGAGCAATAATATATAAATACATACTGAATTTATAAGTTTTTTTTCCTTTCTTTTTTCCTTTCCCCTTTAAAAATTTTTATTTTAATTATCTTTTTACTCATTAATTATGTTTTAGCTTTTCAATGGGAGGTTATGGACTGTTGAGGGAGGGTAATGTTAAATTGGGGTCGTGTTAGCACCAACATGGAAGGATAATTATAAAATGAATGTTGTAATTGATAATCCATGTAGAAAACATATATATATATATATATATATATATATATATATATATAATGCTGTTATAAAATTCATGACATGCCTATAATGGCTTCTTGACAATCATGTTTATGACAGATTTATGACAGGCTTTGTTGTCTTGGTAATGTCAAGTTGTCATGACAAAGACAAAAACAGGTTGTGACGTATTTGTTTATGTCAAATTGTCATAACAAACGATGTCATCTTTGCATTTAAAATGTTTTAAAGGGAATGACACTTAATGACAGTTGTTATAAGCATGCATAAAATCTCATTCACATTCATGTGTCATGATTTTAAAGGTTTGGTCTTTTGAACACCCCTTCAAGCAAAGTACTACCAAATAAATTTACAAACCCTAGCATTTTACCCGATTTCATTATTATTATTATAATATTTTAAAACAAAATCTGTCAATCTCTTCAGCATTTATGATTAAATATGTGATATTGCTTACCTTCGGGTGAGTAAACAAACGCTCAAACCTGTGAGGAGAAACTTGGAAATGATTAGCAACATGACTTTACAACATACCTGCTCCTGTTTTTTTCCTGGGAGTCTCCCGTGTGTCAGACCTATCTCCCACCACCCTCCCGTTTTGTTATTTCTCATGGAAAACTCCTGTAATTTTAATTCCTCAGGTTTTTGGTACAGTCTATAACACCCCCAGGTCTTTGACATTGGTATAGTTTCCAATCGCAGCGGCTGCCCGAAACCCGGTGCATAGTTACTTAGCTGTGTCATTCAGACACTTCACCCCCGACACTTAGACATCCCCACCACTCCCCCTCTCGGTCTCCCAGATTTTCAGAGACAAATGTTGGCAGGTATGCTCGACAAGTGGGTCAAAAGGATTGCATTTAATATATATTTTAGCTACAGATAGTTTCTATTTAATTGGAAATAACATTCTTACTATCAAGTGTTTAAAATATTCACTTGCACACTTTTTTCCTTGATACAGAAAGTATAAGTATGCACTCCTTTTTGCAACATAGGCTCATTCTGAAAACGTAGGCCTATCAACGTTTCTGAAGATCGCGAATTATATAGCCAGAAGTACGTATGGCTGCATTTCATTTTTAAAACGAACGCTACGGAGCTGTATGATGCCGTTTTTTTTCGCATTTACTAGCTGACTGCTTACCTCCATATGGACGGCATTCCAGCTGTTACCAGTTTGTCTGGTTAGCTCACCATATATGTCGGTGGGCGGGTCAATCTGTGCTTTTAAAAATTCTATTGGTTGGGTTTAGGGAAGGAGGAGGGTGGGTCAGTCGATCAGTCAGTCATTCAGTCAGTCAGTCAGTCAGTCAGTCAGTCAACAGTGGCTCTTGGTGGATTTACATGAGAACAGCAGGCACGAATGGCACTCGAGAGAGAAATTTGAGATCTCAACAAGCATACACAGCGGCCTCTGGTGGATTCAAGAAAACAAAAACTGCAAAAAACAAAAACGTAGCTCCAGGGACAAATTTGGCGCTCTCCAGAAATGTATACAGAGGTACGCTTTCAGAATGAGTCTGGGTTGCCTTTTTCACAAGTGTAAAATCTGAAATCTACACAGTCATGATAAAATTAGTTCAAACCATCCTCAATCTTTAAGAATTCTGTAATTTCAATAAAAGTAATTATAATAAAAATCAATCAGAAGTATTACAATTTCATAGTTTTCTCCAAGCATTAATTTTCTCACTCAGCGTTAAATGCCTATTGTAAACATAAATACGTACCTGTCATTAAGTCATCTTTGTTTTGCATTCAGCATGGAATTAAATGCATTGTAAGTGTTAAAAGAGGGTGTAGATGATGCTCAATGCTCTGCTATGAAACACTGTACTCGCAGAAATCTGTCAGTTCTAATAAAATCTGACATTTTGAACTGCTTTGTTGTGTAGTGATGTTTAATGGAAATACGTTGCTTCGCATAAATGTGTACACCCCTCACAGATCTCTCTTTTAAAGTCATATTTTCTTCATAATATTATATTTGTGAATATCAGGGCTGCACAATTTATCATTTCAGCATTGAAATCGCAATGTGATCATTCACAATAGTCACATCGCAAGATATGCAATGTTGAGTCTGTATTATAATCTATCATTTGCATAATTTTGAGGCATGTGACGTGAAATTGTATTCGTATTGCAATATACACTAACCGGCCACTTTATTAGGTACACCATACTAGTACTGGGTTGGATCCCCTTTTGCCTTCAGAACTGCCTTAATCCTCCGTGGCATAGATTCAACAAGGTACTAGAAATATTCCTTAAAGATTTTGGTCTATATTGACATGATAGCATCACGCAGTTGCTGCTGATTTGTCAGCTGCATATCCATGATGCGAATCTCCCTCTTCACCACATCCCAAAGGTGCTCTATTGGATTGAGATCTGGTGACTGTGGAGGCAATTTGAGTACAGTGAACTCATCATCATGTTCAAGAAACCAGTCTGAGATGATTCTTGCTTTATGACATGGCGTGTTATCCTGCTGGAAGTAGCCATCAGAAAATGGGTACACTGAATGGACATGGTCAGCAACAATACTCAGGTAGGCTGTGGCGTTGACACGATGCTCAATTGGTACTAATGGGCCCAAAGTGTGCCAAGGATATATCCCCCACACCATTACACCACCAGCATTTGCGCCCACAGAACTGTCGCTCACTGGATATTTTCTCTTTTTCAGACCATTCTCTGTAAACCCTAGAGATGGTTGTGCATGAAAATCCCAGTAAATCAGCTGTTTCTGAAATACTCAGACTAGCCCGTCTGGCACCACCAACCATGCCACATTTGAAGTCACTTAAATCACCTTTCTCCCCTATTTTGATGCTCAGTTTGAACTGCAGCAGATTGTCTTGACCGTGTCTACGTGCCTAAATGCATTGAGTTGCTACAATGTGATTGGCTGATTAGAATTTTGTGTTAATGAGCAGTTAGACAGGTGTACCTAATAAAGTGGCCGCTGAGTGTATATCGCAGAATAACAAAATGCTGCAATGTTATATTTTTGCAATATTGTTTGCACCCTTAGTACCAAAGCCAAAACTATACATACATATATATATATATATATATATATATATATATATATATATATATATATATATATATATATATATATATAAAATACTTTTCCAAAAAAGCTGTACACCCAAATTAATATGTTGGGGGAAAATATAAAATAAAATGTTAATAAACAGAAAAAAAAAATCAAGTGAAACTAAAAATAATAAATTTAGTTACTTTTTTTTTGCAATAACTCATTTTACTTTAATTTTTTTCTATTCCTAAAGATGTTAGATGACCAAACTCTTTTTTTAATTGATATAACTGTTAGATTTAACAGTGTTGTTTTAATGCACCAACATATCATGGCTACATTCGCTGAGGAATGAATGAAAATATTAATATTAAAAAGGGGCTGTACTAATTAATGCTGTATATACATATACAGTATTCCCCCATGCATCTGTCTTTTATTTCTTTTTATTTCAATCTTGAACATCAGCATACAGGTGAACAGAACAAACAGATGAGCCAGGCAAACATATAAATAGCTGGATGTCAGAGACAGGTTCAGGATAATGCAGGATGATGATTGATGGCAGCATATACAGTGAAAGCCCAGCGTGTCTGCGTCCTTTATCCTTTAACCTGTACTAATCTGCTAATACACAAACTGCTGCACAAGCACTCACACTCACCCAATCCGATTACACAGTGTGTTCATAGAAGAGGGAAGATGAATTTATGCATTCATGTCAAGCGCTCCATGTTGTCAATTATACTTTTAGCAGCCTAAATTTTATAGATACTGTCATTCACAGTGTAACCCTCCTGTTAGAAGTCTTTCAGGGTCGTAAATGTTCTCTAAAACCTGTAAAATAAAGCAGCTAAATTCAATTTCAATCCTCAAATGTATTTAGCACAGGGGCGGACTGGCCATCTGGCAATTCTGGCAAATGCCAGATGGGCCGGACCATTTTTTAAATTTGGGCCAGTATGCTATTTTTTAAGTAACATTTTTTTATATGTATTGTTTTTACATGCAGGAAGCTTTTATCTCTTGCAAGATGTGAATATTATGATGATGATGAAGATGATAATAGTAATAATAATAATACTAAATGTTAAGCATTGGCCCAATCTGCAATGGCCGACTGGTTTCGAGATGGGCCGACCCAATCAGAGGTTACATGGACGTGATCAAAATCTGGCAAGAATCTCAAACAAACAGTAAGTGCAACACAAGCTAATTGTCAGAGATGGACCGCAAAAAAAGGAAAGGCGGTGCCGAAAAGCCCGGAGAAAGCCAAACAATTGCATTCAGACGCTGCCAAATGCATAAAATTAACTAAAAAAGTCTCGAAAGGACACTGTCGACAGCAAGAAGGTCGATGGTTCGAACCTCGGCTGGGTCAGTTGGTGTTTCTGTGTGGAGTTTGGATGTTCACGTGAGTTTCCTCCCGGTTTCCCTCACAAGTCCAAACACATGTGCTCTAGGTGAATTGGGTAGGCCTAATTGTCTGTAGTGCATGTATGTGAATCTGTGAGTGTAGGGGTATCCCAATGATGGGTTGCAGCTTGGAGGACATCCGCTGCGTACAATATGGTACTGCTTATATTATTTCACCTGTTATATTATTTCATCTGTACACCAATATAAGTAGTGAATGTGCGTGTCGGTGGATGGGGCTGTGTCGGTGTGGTAATGTGGGCTGGTGTGGCTACAGTGCCAGGGCTGATTTTTAGTCCCAGTCCGCCCCTGATTTAGCATGAAGATACAACCTCATCTTCATCACAAACTTGGTAAATTCCTGGGTTTCCCTTAATCAGTGTGCAGTATGTGGTCATAAAAGGATGGACATGGTCTGCAACAATGCTCAGGTAGGCTGGGGAATTGACATGATGCTCAATTGGTACTAATGGGCCCAAAGTGTGCAAAGAATTGATGTTTTCTCTCTACCTAATAAATGTTAATTAAATCTTCTCTCTACTTAATAAAGCGGCTGGTGAGTGTATAGGGTTGTTTCCATGTTGTCTCTTTATGACCAACAGAGCATCTCTGTCATGTGGCATCATTGATGTGCAGGTGATAAATCACAATGAATATGCACCAAAAAAAGCTGTGAGAAATGTTTTTAACACCTATAAAAGACCACACAGTTGTCTTCTCAGTGGTCCAACATGATACTAGAAAAGGCGTACCTAATAATACAGCAAAGCTGTGACTTCATATGTAATTTCAGAGAGATTTGAGAGTTTAATAACAACAGGATTGCTAGTATTTAACACTTAAACACCATGTCATGGTGCACGTCACAATAGAGGAAACTTTAAAGGGCACCTAGGTTACCCCTTTTTTCAGATTTAATATACGTTTTTTGCGTCTCTAGAATGTGTATTTAAAGTTTCAGATCAAAATACCCATCAGATTTTTCATTATACCTCATTATATTTACAAGATGCTGTTTTATACTGATTTCCAGCAGGGGGTGGTTTTGCCGTACTGCGCCTTTAAGACGATTCTTTCCCACCCACTTTCTCGCCCACTACATGCCTCCTCCCTCAGCTGCGTCAGACAACAGACAGACTTACGCCCCATTCACACGGGGCGTCAGCGTCAACGCTTCCCATTCACTTTGAATGGGTGACGTCATGCGCTGCCGAACTGCATTGTGGATCCGTCGGCGCCGCTTCAGAGGCGTTGCTCGCGGCAGAAGTTGGGACTAGCTCAACTTTTCAAGCGCCGATGGAAGCGTCAGCCAATCAGATCGCTGAATGCAAATATGGCAGCTAGACAGGGGCCTATTGCTGACTGAATTTCATTGGCTGACGCTGCGATGACGATCACATTAGCCTCAACTTCAGGCACGCCTTCAGTCAAGCATTGACACTGAAGCCCCGTGTGAATAGGGCGTTAAAGGAAGAAGGTCTCACGTAGCGTTTGTGAGAGCAGGGGGTGGTTTTGTCGTACTGCGCCTTTAAGACGATTCTTTCCCGCCCACTTTCTCGCCCACTACATGCCACCTCCCTCAGCTGCGTCACACAACAGACAGACTTAAAGGAAGAAGGTCTCACGTAGCGTTTGTGAGATACTACAGTAAGAACTAACCTTTACTTATCAGTATTGTGAAGTTGCATTGATGAGTCACACACAATATCGTTACAAAGTTAACGCGCGCGCGCGCACACACACACAGATACACACGCAGGCAGGCAGGCAGGCAGGCAGACAGAGCGCGCTCAGCTTAGTTAAGGCTAACCTCAAGTACTGTGTGGATATCTGTTATGCTAATGTACAAAATAAACCTGATTTAACTTCCACAAACCGGGATTGAAGCGTCTTCTTTTATAATTGTTCTGACACGCGGCTGTGCTGATGAAGTAAAGCTGAAGTAAAACGCTGTAATTAATTACACACATACTCTGTTTTAAAACACTTTAAACATGTGAAACTTACTCTTGATCACATTTGATGATGATTGCTGATCCTAGCGAACAGAACAGAGCTTTTATTCCCGGTTGCTTTGCGTATGTCTGCCTGGTCTTGTTGACATATACACGCGACTACCGGGACATGTTAATGCGCGCAGCTGTCAATCAATTCGGTGGGCGGGTGGATCGCACACCTACGTAATGGTGCGATCGATTTGAAAACAGCTCCAATTGGCCGACCCTTTTTTTGTAGTTAAATTGAAAAAAAAAAGGACTGGGTGTGTTCATATCACCCCAGTATGACGGTCTATACACTATACCAACACACAGATCCGTCCAAACAGCTTGAAAAGTAGATTTTTTTACCATAGGTGCCCTTTAAACCTATCAAAATTAAAACTATATTTCAAATATATGTTTTTTAGGTAACACTTTACAATAAAAGTACATAAATAATGATGTATTAATATGTAAACTAAACATTAGTTTGTTATGAATTAATGATGAGTTAAGGTATGCACTAATCATGAATTAACTTTAACTACAACATGAGTTCATATGTGTATGACGGCTACCTTAATTATTTGTTAGTACATGATTGTTTGTTAATGAATGTATTGACTACCACATTAGTTTATGCTTAATTTAACCATGATGAACTCATGATATGGTAATGTATAATTATGTTGTGACTTTATTCGGAGGGGCACATCCTCATTAACCCATTCTTAACTACTCGTGAACTCCTTACTCCATGTCCAACTAGTGAGTTTACATTGAATAACAACAGAAAAGTGTTCTGTCAACACCAACATGAACAGGAGTTCATGAGTAGTTAAGGATGAGTTAATAGTGATGTGCCCCTCCAAGTAAAGTCATGACCTAACTATACACTAACAGCTCATGAGTTCATGTTGGTTACATTTAGCTTAAACTTAAATGTTAACTAATACATTAATTAACAACATGTACTAACAAGTAATTAAGGTAGTCGTTATTTACACATGAACTCATGTGACTCATGTTGTGGTTAAAGTTAATTCTTGATTAGTGCATACCTTAAATCATCATTAATTCATAATAATGTTTAGTGTACATATTAATACATCATTATTCATGTACTGTTATTGTAAAGTGTTACCGTTTTTTCATGTTTTTATTAGCTTATTAAATATGCTAAGCTTTATAAGTAGGCTCCCTCTGTCAACTTACCTCATGATGCCAACTGGTAAACAAACATATAATAAAAAAGCAAACACACCTTTTTATAAAAAATTACTATATTATCTCTCTCAGCAAACATGCTTAATCAAAACTGCAATGATAACAGGTCAAAATGGACCGTTCATGAGTTGAATTACACATGTAAATACAGCTAGCAATCCAAAAAAGGGAGTGCAAGATAAAGCCCTTTTGTCGTTAGAGGGAGAGGCTGTCCTGTCCTTTAGCCAGGGAGTTGGCAAGTTGGATTGCAGCAGCTTTTCTGTTTCGCCACCTACACAGAGAACCAACCCAGCCAACCACACGTCTGAAACCGATCCCAATAGCGGCACTTCGATTTACCGTAGGAAAGTCAGAATCACTTTAGAGAATCGGTTCGTTCGAGCAGTTCGGTTGAACAAACTAGCTCATAAAACATTTGAGTCGTAGCTTTTACATAGAGCTTTTAATGATGTAAGCATAGCCACATAAAAACAATCACTTTTATGTTTTGATTTCCGCTCGACACATTTTGTAAACAAAACTCCAAATGATCAATTTGAGTGATTTAAGAAGCGAGTCAACTCGCGCGAATCAACAAAAAGAACCGGTTCATAAACACAACTGGTTCGCGAATCATATAGCGTCGGCTTCCGTAGCTGAAATGATCCTTACTACACTTTCTCCTAGGCATTTGTCTTACAGTTAATTTCATTTCCACAACAAACCCATAATTTAATCCGAGTTAGACATAACTACAATCGGAAACACAGAGCAATGGACTGAAACACGACAGATTAGCTTAAGCGAATCCACTGTTAAGGACATTTAACGTACGTTAATCTGTCATGGTTGATAGTTAGCACGTACGCTATCAGGGTATAGCTCGTTAGCGCAGCAAATATCGCTTTATTTGAAAGTGTGTTTCAGGTTATTTCAGCGATAACAAGATCAGCTACAATGTGAAAACTCGCACACGAAGAACTGCGATCTTCACTGCAGCCGCAGACGAGCTCGCCACAGTTGTGTCGAAGTTGGAAATACGGAAATAACAGCCGTTTATGGCCCACATTAATATCAATTAACAGCAAGTTCGTGTGTTGATTATTTCGCGTGTCGTCGCCTTGTTTTGAAAGTGTATGGCTGTGCGCGCGCGCCTATCAAAAGTGGGGATTAATATTTAGGTCGTGCGCGAAGATTAGTGTTCACAGCAGGATGTCAAAGGGATTTGTGAGCTGAAAAAATAACAAAAACAAAAACATGTCATCCTCCCTGTCATAAAGCAAAGTTTCGCTTTATCACAGAAGTCCGACGTTTTCTGTAGGTAATATAGATGTTTGTGGGTTACAAGAGCAGGCTGTCAAAATCTCTTTCCTGATCAAATCAAATACTCTAGAAATCAGACATCATGTCAGGGGACAGTAGTGGTAGTAGTGGCGAGGACTCCGATCGAGAAACCCGCCGCAAAGTTTGCACCGTAAAACACGAGATCACTAATGGTAGGTGACTTCATCATCAATCTTTAGAATAACCTGTTGTGTGTGTGTGTGTGTGTGTGTGTGTGTGAGAGAGAGAGATTTATTTTTTCAAAGTGTTGGTAATGATATGTTTTGATGTGTCATTAGCATTTGGTCATTACCTTATTTAAATACCACTAAAGATACTCTAAAGAATTGAGGTAAAGTTTGTTTTATAGTCCCACATTCAGTTATTCATCTTAATAGTGTAATTTCAGAAAAACTATTCTTTGCTATTTATAAGTAGTTAAATCATACTAGCAGCCAATAATTATTGAAGTTCAACAGTCAAATAAAGTGTTAATGTTGATTTTAAGTCACACTTCAGACCGAAAATTTAAAGTATCATGGTAAACAATACAGAGAGCATGTCAACAAGTTGTTACTGAACTAAAGTGTGAATTTAAAAACAACTATACCTCAATTTCTAAAGAATAGCATGCAAATGTTTACCACTGTATCACAGAGTTATTGTGTGAGCAAATATTATTCTGTGTAATGTTCTGTGTTTGAATCTGTTATTTCTTTAATTTTATTTAAGAATATTGTGGGGGTGTATTGGTGGTGGTAACAATCTGCAAACATGTTTTATACTTTAAATGAGGAAAATAAGCATACGTTATGAATGTGACTAAAAAAAGTATTCAGATTTACAGTATACAACAGACTTTGTAGAAATTGTGTGAATTAAACGGCACAACCCCCAAAATAATGCTAATCAAAAGGATAAGAGTTTACTCACAATTGAACAAACATGATTGAATTGATTTAATATCTTGCCTTTATAAGGGAAAAGCTTCGTTATGGATGTGACCGATGTGAAATTTGCATTCGTGTGAAAATAAAATATTTGTTATTATTGTTCAAAAAAAAAATGTGGTGGTCTATTGGTGATGGTATCAAAGTTTTTATTGAATGAATACCATTAAAATAGCTCATTAGGTCTATTGTCTAATTAAGTTTGTGTTATATTCACACATTCAGAATTTCTCCTTAATGTAATTTCAGAAAAGTATTCTTTGCTATTTCTAAGTAGGGAAATCATATAAGAGCAATTCTAGCGTCATGGATGTGACGTTTGCAGTAAAGAATCACTAAAGAATAGCATGCAAATCTGCATTGCTTTGCTTTAAAATATTGTTGTTGTTTTTTTAAATGTGGTGGTCTGTTAAAGGTTTTTATTTAATGAATACCATAAAAATAGTTAATTCTGTTTATAATATTTAATTAATAGCATCAGTCTGATTATATTTCTCCATACTGTGTTGTCTATTTTTATTAATGTTTTAATCCTACATAGTTTTTTTTTACTTCCAATGTGTTTAAATGTCATGATAGATGATTTGTTATTTGAGTTGATTATTTCAGTGCATTTTAAGCTTCATTCATTTGTTTATTTTATTTAACTTAAAATATTAAAAGTCTGTTTTTCTTTTAGTCATATCATAAGTTATCAGACATAAGGAGAAACACCATACCATCAGTTTTATTGAATTATTTGTTAACATTAACATATTATCTAACTTCTTTTTTTTTCTTTAAAAGTTGATTAATTTTTGTTAATATTTGGTAAACGGTTATGTAATATTTTATTTCAGTGTGCCTTAATTAAAAACTAAATATTAGTAAGTGTTGAAATTAATGTTAAAGGGATAGTTCACTTGAAAATGAAATTTAGTCTTGCCTCAAATGTTGAAAACGTGCTTATGTTTCTTTTTCTGTTGAAAACAAACGAATATTTTTTGAAGAATGTTGGCTTTCTTTCCTACTATGTTAATCAATGGTTTTCAAAATTCTTTAAATGTTTCTTCTATTGTGGTCAACAGAAGAAAGAAACCGCTTTAGGTTTAATAAACTGTAAGTACTTTTTCATACTGAGTGAACTATCCCTTTAAGGCAGGGATGTCAAACTCAATTCCTGGAGGGCCGCAGCCCTGCACAGTTTAGTTCCAACCCTGCTTCAACACACTTACTGGTCGGTTTCAAACAAGCCTGAATGACTCAATTAGTTTGATCAGGTGTGTTTAATTAGGGTCGGAACTAAACTGTGCATGGCGGCGGCCCTCCAGGAATTGAGTTTGACATCCCCGCCTAAAGGTTTTAAATGCTTTAGAAGTAATGTCAACAGGGCAGTTAACATCCAAACCTGGTCGCTAGATGTTACCAAAGTATCACTTGTTAGTTACCTTTTTAAATGCTGATATTGTTGCTTCTGCATGCACTGTATAACTGCTATATTTTAAGACAGTGGTCCCCAACCTTTTTATCACCACGGACCAGTCAACGGTTGTCAATTTTACAGCGGACCTGTGGTGGTGGGGGGGTCTTCACATGGACACAGCTGCTGCGCTCATGCATCCAGGTTAATCATGAACAACTCAGTGCGCATGCGCTAGTTGCACTATCGCGGTTTGATTATGTTTCAATCAAGGTTTATATGCATCACATACATAACATCTGTGCCAAACATCTCAACTGACGAACATTTTAACAATAATACAACCGTATAGCCGAATTAAATGTATGCATTGGCATGTTACAGCCGTAATGAGTATGATTATGTGAAGCTCCAAATAGATACATATTGGAATGATTTCGTGTACTTACTTAGCGATGCACGCACACATAACGTTATATGCACAATCCTTAAATGCTCTGCTGATTTGGACTCTATAATACCGGTTTTATAACTTTAAACTATCAACAACCACCACTGAGCTATTGACCTGCGCCTGTTTTCGCGATTGTCTTAGAACTTCCGATTCAGTCGCCTATGGGAGAAATGACTAGGAATATAAAACGGCAGAAAATGGTCAAACTACTTGCTCAACAAACAAATGTTTGCATGACTACACAGACCAAGTAGCATAATATAATAAGAAAATATTAAATTGCAACATCAAGCAGCGTAACGAGCAGTTGTTAACGTCAAAAAATGAATGGAAGTGAATGTGACCGGAAGTCGCGAGACAAAAAGATTCAAATGGCAGCGCCCGCTCGACAGCTGAGAATAAGGTGAATATTCTAGCCATCGTTCTTCCCGCTCCCTGGTGGATTTTGGCATAGTCCATTTCACCTGAGATTGAGTGGGTTGAGTGGAAGAAACCAAGTGCCGGGGGGTGGGGGGGGGTATTTTCTACAGAAATAATTTATGATTTCTTATGTGGCCCGGTACCAATTGTTCCACGGCCCGGTGGTTAGGGACCACTGTTTTAAGGGATAGTTTACACAAAAATGAAAATCTGTCGTCATGTACTCGCCTTTAACTTTAAGATGTACTTTCCGCTGTTGAACACAAAAGAAGATATTTTGAAGAATGCTGGAAACCTGTAACCATTGACTTCCGTTGTATTTGTTTTGCCTACTTTAAAAGTCAATGGTGACAGGTGTTCAGCATTCTTCAAAATATCTTCCTTAGTGTTCAACAGAAGAAAGGATCTCATCTCGTTTGGAACCACTTGAGGGAGAGTAATTAATGAGTACATTTTCATTTTTAGGTGAACTGTCCCTTTAAGCGTATTGAATATAGTGCTGCTCTAAGTGTGTGTATAGGAGAGTTAACATTTTTGCTCGAAGTATGATTTATTGTGAACGTTCATTGTTTGTCCATTTCCAGCAAACCTCACAGGATACACTGAGAAAGTTGGCATGGAGAACTTTGAACTTCTCAAAGTGCTTGGCACAGGAGGTGAGAACTGAACTCTGTGTTCCTACATGTGGGTTTCTGGATCAAACTGGTTTGTCCTTCTTGTGAAGGTCACTGGAAATGTTTATCTTTTGACACAAGGTTTGAATGAAAGTTATCATACTAGTCATTGCCATAAGGTTATTATAAACGGGAAGATGTTTATACATCATGGAGGCACGGCAAAATATATAGTATACGAATGAGAGCATATTTCTATGATTTTCCAGCCATATGCATTCTAGTCATTCAATCAACGACTGAATTAATTCAATAAATTGGCCAATAGAGACATCAGGCTTAATATTAATGCTGTCAATTAAGATATATGTGTGTACTGTGCGTACTGTGATATTAGGACTGTACGATATTGGAAAAATCAGACATTGTGATATGTTACGATATGAATACAATTTCGCATGGCTTAATTAGCTCTAATTTCGAGAAAACAACATTATTTATATTGATTGGGTTGATTTTGTAAGGGTGTGAATAATGTATAACAAAATAATAAACACATTTTTAAGCAAGAATAATTACAACAGAGCAAAAAAAAAAAGTAAAACAGTGCCTTATGGTTTTTCTGGGGAGTTAAACAGTATTCGGGTACAGAAATTGAAAATTGAAGTGTAAAATAACACTGTGTGGTCTGCATTGTTTTAATAATTCAGTAAAAGTATTCTTCATCAAAGTTACAAATGTTTTATTTTATTATCCCTGAATGCTTTTAAATCTCTTTAAAAACCTTTCTAACACCTGCAAATGATAAAGTTTCACTCTGTTATGGTTATACTTTGCAATGACTTCACACATCTCATATATTCTCAATTGTTGATCAACTATGAACCTGACTCAACATCGCATATCCTGCAGTGTGACTATTGCAGACACACATTGTGATATCGATGCAGAAACTTTATATTGTGCAGCCCTAATACACACAAACGCATACATGTAAAAAATGTTCACTTATATTTATAACTTTAATATTTATATCTAATACTAATGATATATAAATATATGTCAGCATTTTGGTTTTGTGTTCATATGTACAGTTGAAGTCAGAATTATTAGCCCCCCTGAATTATTAGCCCTGTTTATTTTTTTAATTTCTCAATTTCTGTTTAATGGAGAAAAGATTTTTTCAGCACATTTCTAAACATAATAGTTTTAATAACTTATTTCTAATTACTGATTTATTTTATCTTTGCCATGATGACAGTAAATAATATTTGACTAGATATTTTTTAAGACACTTCTATACAGCTTAGTGACATTTAAAGGCTTAACTAGGTTAATTAGGTTAACTAGGCAGGTTAGGGCAAATAGGCAAGTTATTGTATAATAATGGTTTATTCTGTAGATAATCGAAAAAAAATGTTTAAAGGGGCTAATAATTTTGTCCCTAAAATGGTTGTTAAAAAATTAAAAACTGCTTTTATTTCAGCCGAAATAAAACAAATAAGACTTTCTCCAGAAGAAAAAATATTATCAGACATACTGTGTAAATTTCCTTGCTCTGTTAAACATCATTTAGGAAATATTTTAAAAAGAAAAAAAATACATTATGTAAATACAAGCTTTTATTTTAATTGCGATATAATACCTAATATACATTTTTGATGTTGTCTTTTTTTTTTTTTTTTAGCGCAAATTAATCACTTGGTAGCACAGCACTACCTAATATACATTTTTGATGTTGTCTTTTTTTTTTTTTAGCGCAAATTAATCACTTGGTAGCACAGCACTACCTAATATACATTTTTTGATGTTGTCTTTTTTTAGCATATGAAAAGGGGTAGTTCACCCAAAATTAAAATTTACTCACTATTTACTCACCTCAATTGGTTCCAAATCTTTATAAGTTTTTCCTTCTGAACCTAAATTAAGATATTTTCAAGAAAACTGTAAGCCGATAACCATCGACTTCCATAGTATTTATTTGATGTACTATGAAAGATAATGGTTACTGGTTTCCAGCTTTCTTCAAAATATCTTGTTTGTGTTCAAGAAGGAAACTCAAACATGTTTGTGACTAGTGAAGGGGAGTAAATGATGACAGAACTTTCAGTTTTGAATGAGCTATACATGGTTTCCGCTACATTATTCTTTAATGGTGGGGCGCCATGCCAAAATTGATCCCGCCACGGCTACTTTACAGCTTTTCATTCAAAACATTCAGTCGTGTTTTTTTTTTTTATAGCGGGTGAGAATCACACCAAAATGTATTAAAAGGTCAGTGATATATGACAGCGCAAATTTCTGTAATCGTAGTAGTGCTGTGCGTTATTTGTTTAACCCATTAAGCTTACGTGCTGACTGGCTGAATGACAGGTGCGTGATGCGTGAGGCCAGCAAACACGTAAAGACGTACAGCCATTTCACTTTACTTCAGGACGCATTAATACCACTCTGTAGCTCTTTTTGAGACATTCAGAAATATTCCTAGCAAATATAATAAATGTTGGAGAAATACTTGTTACATAAATGCACTAAAACGCACTTCAGCAGCGTTTATTTGAGAGCGCACAAGAAGATCTGCGCTTAAGCAGCGTATATTTAAGGGCGCTTGCAAGAAGTTTTGTGGACGAGCAGAGGAAATTTGCATGCTGTAGGCTATTATATTAATGCAATCTCGACTTTTAATACTGCGCTCATGACGTTTGCCATTGAAATAACGCCATAGGTAGTTGGTACATCTGTGTAAAAAAAGCCTGCCGCCCCAGCTGGAAAAAATCCTAGAGGAAACACTGCTATACCTATATTGGTGTGATTCATAATGTGTTTTTCTTTCCTAGTTTAATAACCTAGTATGTAACTTATAATAACTTGTGTGTATGCAACAACTTAATGTAACTGTAATTAAGCCAGGTGAAGTAAATAGATGAAGTGTAAAGATTATGTCAGTTTGTTTTATCTTTGAGCACAAAAATGCAAGTGTTGTTTAAATGTCGAACTAAACCTTTAAATTGCTACATCTCTGCTTTTTCTTCTCTATATCAGCTTACGGGAAAGTGTTTTTGGTCCGAAAAATCAGCGGCCATGATAAAGGCAAACTGTACGCCATGAAGGTTTGTGCTGTCCATCATCACAGTTTTTTTTGTCCCTCCTTCAGTTTGTAAAAATCCCACATCATTGAATTAAATACTGAAACATAATTTAACATTTCTGCTGTCACAGCTAAACCTAAAACCATTACCAACATTTTTGTAGCTAGAAATAAAACAATAGTTAGATGAAATAAAGCTAACTTTTTTTAATGAAATGATGATATGAAGGTAATTTTTCTCTAAAAATTTGAATTAGGCCCAAAACTTAATGGCTTGACTAAAACCCTGATATAATTAATGATGGGAATAAAGGCGCTATAAATAAACGACTATACTAACGATGATATTTTTTTCTAGTGCGTTTTCTCTCTGCGTTGCTGAAAGGTAATTCTAATCTAATGAAGCACCTCATGTTGTCACAAAATTAGTAGCTACGCAGGCGATAACGTGAGCTCTGCTACCAAAAGAGGAGACGAAGCCACGACGTCAAAGCAAAGAGAGCTTAATTTTTCTCCACTGCAAGCACTTATTACTCAGACAGAATTAAACACAATAATATCTAAATATATAGTTAAGGACATGCTGCTGTTGTCTCTCACATTGTCCCACAGCAACATTAAAATAGTATAGATTAGTGTTTTATATTTATTTTATAGTCATTCGACAAATTAGATTTGTTTTAAAGTCATGCAATAGTTACTTTCCCCGGTAATTAGTTACTTATATAATTATGTAAAATTATAAATTGCATAATTATGTCCCATTTGTGAGAAGTAACTAGTAAATATAACTAATTACTAGGCCCACACGGAATCTGAGTCATCATATGTATTTACGTAAATGTGTGTACATTTATATTCAGTTTTTAAATTAATTTCACTAATATTATTATGATATAATAATAGTCACATTAAAATGTTTATATGATTTATGTACAATACAATTTGTAAACTAGTATTTTCTGTCTTTTTGTAGATATATTATACAAGATGCTTTGTTTACCAAATAGGTGAATCTAATTAGATTTGCCTCGTAAATATTAAATCAAAGTTAAAACTTTATTATTATTTATTTATAAATTAAGTTTTTAGTTTTGATACTCCTAAAATAAATCCGCATAAATCCGCAGATTTGTTTTTAACAAAATTCTCTGCAGAAATAGCAAAAAATGTCTGCAAATTTTGTGTGGCTCTTCTAATTACTCTTTTAAAGTAATCTACCCAACACTTGAAATAATAAACAATGATATAAACAATAATATACACTGATATAAAATGAATTTTATAACAAACAATGATATACAGTGCTAAGCATTATTGAGTACACCCCAATTTGAAAATGAATATTGTTATCCATTTTTCAGTGAATAGAGAAAGCAACGTATTTTGGTGCATTTAAACAAAACAGATTCATTAAACAGATATATTTATTAAAATAATATTTAAGTCACCAAACCTATTTAGAAATTGAGAGATAATACAACTAAATTCAGACAAAATATTGCAAAACAAATTACAACCTAAAAATTTTTTAACTAAATGTTTAATTTTTTTTTTTTTGCTTCTCTTGATTATCCTTTTTTTTTTGTATTAAATATCTTTCTATTACATAAATTTGAGTGTACTAGTGTTTGGACCGTTATTGTAAGTTATTTTCTTAGATAAGCTCCAGATTTGGCTTCAGTACTGACTAAACTAATGTATATGCACAAATATAATATTGTATATCTTCCTTTTAAAAATATGAATTTAAATGAGAGATTTGTGAGGGGTGTACTATAGAGCTGAGCACTGTATAATAGGCATGGGCCGGTGTAAGATTCTGATGGTATGATAACCATGCATAAAAATATCACGATATCGTGCTCACTGCTCTAAAATATATTCTCTTTAAACGTCTGGGTAAAAAACAAAAACTTTTTTTCCCTTTTGAACACAATATATTCCTTTTTTTGAAAGATTTATAATATTCTGGAGCAGTAAACACGTCAGGCTAAATAATTCAAATGAATCATTGACTTCTGCTGTCTTCATTTGTTTCAAAAACACAGATTTCTTTACAATTTAAAACGGCATCTTTGGATATTTTTTTCTGCTGGAGACACTGTTCTAAAAACAAAACAAAAAATGTAAATAAAAAATCTTAAACATCTTAGGGACGGTATTACAGAAAGGTTTGGCGGTATTAAAACCTTGACTTTTCCAAACCGTGGTATATCTTAAAACAGTTATCATCTCATGCCTACTGTACAATAAAATTCTTGATTTTCAGTGTTTTCAGAAAAAAAAAAACTTTGCTGAAACTCTTTTAAACTGGCATTTAATAAATTGCATTGCATTATATATAAATTATTAGGTAATTCCTTTTTTGTCGAAACTTAATGTTAATAGGACATGCAGATAAGGTTTTTGGTAATCTATACTATAGGAAATCCCTAAAAAAATCAAGGAGAATTTTACTGAAAACCTTGGTCTCATTTTTGCATGATTTTATGATTCCTCTATAGGTGCTAAAGAAAGCAGCCATCGTTCAGAAGGCAAAGACTGCGGAGCACACTAGAACCGAGCGACAGGTATTGGAGCACATCCGCCAGTCCCCCTTCCTGGTCACCCTCCATTATGCCTTTCAGACGCAAACCAAACTGCATCTCATACTAGGTAAGCACAGGACACAGATTCACCTATGCATGCTGATTTATGATAATATCTGTAGCGCACTCAATTAAATGTGAACCTTTGAAGTAAAAAGATGATATTTACTTGGAAATAATGTAGTTGATACAGTCGAGCCTGGCAAAATTCTGACTTAATTTTTTTGTTCATATGTAAATAATAGCTGAGATATATATATTTTTTCACAATGAAGCCTCTTGTACATCATCTTATTTTCTTTTGGAAGAAGCCTGTTTTATTTCTGGTTAAAAAAAAAAACTTGCTGGTTGAATAAAAGTATGAATAATTTCAGACTTGACTGTATGTATATGTGTGTCTACACTATCTGACAAAAATCTTGTCATTGATCCCAGCTGTAAGAGCAACAAATGATAACTTGACTTCTAGTTGATGATTTGGAAAAGTGGCCGAAGGTGGATTTTTCTGATGAATCATCTGTTGAGCTGCATCCCAATCATCACAAATACTGCAGAAGACCTACTGGAACCCGCATGGAGCCAAGATTCTGACAGAAATCAGTCAAGTTTGGTGAAGGAAACAACATGGTTTGGGGTTTCATTCAGTATAGGGGTGTTCGAGAGATCTACAGTCACCAGATATAAACATTATTGAGCATGTCTAGTGTATGATGGAGGAGGTATTGAAGATGATTCCCAAGAAACTTGATGAACTCTGGGAGTCTTGCAAGAACGCTTTTTTTTTGCCTCCAGATGACTTTATTAATAAGTGATTTGAGTCACTGCAGAGATATATGGATGCAGTCCTCACGAGAGTCAGACACAATATTCATTCTAAGAGCCAAGTCAGACCTTACTGTCCTAATGAAAAAATTAAAAATCAAGGCATGATCATATTTTATTTTGATAAAATAGGCGTAATCTAGAGGCCTTTGCCTTTCATATAAGCCACTTCTGATTCTAAATGATCAACTAAAAGTCAAGTTATTATTTGTTGTTTCTAAGACTTGGATGGATGACAAGACTCTTCATGTAGTGTATATATGTATATGTGTGTATTTTTATTAATTAATTCATTTGTAAAAAATAACAGTTGTCTAATTATGTATACAGTTATTGTGATGTAAAATAACTCCTCATATAAAATTACTATTGTGATGTAAAAATCCTCCTATGATGCGAGACATTGGTCACATCAGCCACCCCAAGTTTCAAGCTCTTTGTCTTTTAGTAAATTGCTGTTTTTTTGGGATAATGTGCTGAGTGCATGTTTGTTTCTGAAGACTATGTGAGCGGAGGAGAGATGTTCACACACCTCTATCAGAGAGATCATTTCTCAGAGGATGAGGTGAGGATCTATGTGGGGGAGATTATTCTGGCTCTGGAGCATCTGCATAAGGTACTGCTGCCTGGTTTTTATTGATACATAGATATATATGCAAAGTTAGGGAAATAAGTTCATTTATATAAATATTAAGACTGTTTGTGTTTGTATAACCCTACTTGGTTTTGTGTTTTCAGCTTGGCATTGTGTACCGAGACATTAAGCTGGAGAACATTTTATTGGACAGTGATGGTCATGTGGTTTTGACAGACTTTGGGCTGAGTAAGGAGTTTCTGGAGGAGGAGGTGGGGAAAATAAAAGCTATTAAAAGTTACCAATACAATATATTTTGTATGTTTTTGGCCAAAATTGGTGTTCAGCCAAGAACCATTCAAAAGGAGTTCTTTATTTAGGCATAATATATTTATATTTAAGCTTGTAGGGGCATTAAAACAAGTCCCATTTGGTCATTGCTTTTGGCCTTCTAGATTTTTTTCTTGGTTCCGTGTTGTGTTGTAAACCTTTACGCATTTCTCATGCTTTGTTTATGTGTAGAAAGAGAGGACTTATTCATTCTGTGGCACTATAGAATACATGGCACCTGAGATTATCAGAGGGAAGTCTGGCCATGGCAAGGTAAGAAAATTAAATAACAAGCATTTTTTATTTCCCCATCAAAATGTAATGGAAAAAATGTGATCGGAAAAAGGATTATCTAATTTTTTTTCTTGTATTCTGACTATATTATTATTATTAATAATAATAATATTAATAATAACAATAATGATGATGATATTTATTGTTATTATTATTATTAGACCATTTAATCTTCAATAATCTTTTGATAAACGAAACTTCAAATCGTGATGATTTAATGCTAAAGTCAATGTTGAGTAAATATACACTTACATTATCAGTCATGAGAAGATATTTCTCATATTACGATAGTGACATATTTATTGGCACACAGTTATGAAACTACTCAAATGTGTTTAAAAAATTAATATAATATTAAAATGTAAATTTCATGGTAGTAAAATTGTTCTAAATATTTTTAGAATGATCACACTTTATTTTAATAAACAAATCACTCTTTTAACATACCATTAATAAGACTTGTGGCTCAGTAAGCTACTAATTAGGTGCTTATTAGTAGTTATTAAGGTAGTAGTTGGATTTAGGGATGGAAAACTAGGATCATACTTTATATGTGTTAATAAACCTTTAATATCTCATTAGCAGGCTGTTAATAAGTCAGTAGTAAATGGGTACCCCTGGGTTTAGTGCTGGGGCCTTTGCACTTCTCAGAATAAAAAAAAGTTCTATTGTACATCTTAATATTTACTACTATAAAATGCAGTATACAGTGGTATATTGTATTATGGATTACTGTGTGAATATTTGCTTGAACTAAAGTCTTACCTAGTTTATAGCGTTAATTTATTAGGCACTACACAACATGACAGCTTCTTACATTTCTGACTGCTTATCAAAATATAATCCAAACCGTTTGCTATGCTCTTCTAGCGCTGGACTTTAAGAAATTCACTCTATAAACCTGATGCGATCTGGCAGCACTTCTTTTAGTCACTATGCTCCAAAAATTTGGAATTGTCTCTCAAATGAAGTGAAAGAATTCCCCAACATTCATGTTTTTAAAAAGCATTATGACACATCATTTTAAAATTGAGTATGAATGTAACAGTTTGTGAAGTGTATGCATTACACTTAGTAGGTGTATTTATGTTTGCATGTACGGTGTGTGCATGCATATGTGAGGACTATTGTGTGGATATATGCATATATGCGTGTACATGTACAGTTCAAGTCAGAATTATTAGCCCCCTTCAATTTTTTTTTTTTTTTTTAAATAATTTCCAAATGATGTTTAACAGAGCAAGGAAATTTTTACAGCATGTCTGATGATATTTTTTCTTCTGGGAAAAGTATTGTTTGTTTTATTTCGGCTAGAATAAAAGCCGTTTTTAATTTTTTAAACACCATTTTAAGGACAAAATTATTAGCCCCTTTAAGCTATATTTTTTTTCTCGATAATCTACAGAACAAACAATTGTTGTACAGTACCTTGCCTAATTACCCTAACCTCCCTAGTTAACCTAATTACCCTAGTTAAGCCCTTAAATGTTACTTTAAGCTGTATAGAAGTGCTTGAAAAATATCTAGTCAAATATTATTTACTGTCATCATGGCAAAGACAAAATAAATCAGTTATTAGAGATGAGTTATTAAAACTATTATGTTTAGAAATGTGTTAAAAAAAATCTTCTCTCCGTTAAACAGAAATCAGGAAAAAAATAAACAAGCGGTCTAATAATTCAGGAGGCTAATAATTCTGACTTCAACTTTATGCTTTTATCTGAGTTTATATTTGTTGTTCATTATGCATTATTTGTCGGTATATTTTTATGTGGTTTATTTTAATAGTTGTTTGTTGTTTGTGAAGCACTTTGAGTTGCATGTATGTAGGAAAAGTGCTATAAAAATAACATTTATAATTATTATCATTAATACCATTTGATTATTTCAATATTTACTAATACTTTATTTCAAGGTGTCCGTGTTACACTTTCCTTGCTCGATATTGGAAAAATCTGACATTGCGATATTTTATTTTGCTTCGATTTACATTGTGATATGAATACGATTCCAGCAGCTGACTTGAATACCTCTATTTGGAATAAAATCATTAACTTTGATTGGAATAATTGCAAGAATAATTACAGTAATACGATACGATATTATCAAATTTTGCCTCCAATAATGATAGATCACGATATCAGCGATATATCACAGGAAAACCATACACAATATCATGATATTTTGAAAACGAAAAGGGAAAAATGCATCAAAAAGTTATAAGATGTATTTCTTTTATTACCACCACATATATTGGTGTTTAAAGAGAGTGCACGCGACGTGTCTGAAAAGCAAGGAAGGATTGGGGGGTGAGAAGGGTGCACGACTTATTTGAGGACCAGGAAGGAGACACCCAATTTCCGGGAGATTAACACTCGTTTGCGGCCATTATGAGTCCCACAAATGCATAGAGACTCCCGGAACTTCATGGAGACTTGGGATGGCTGAATATCACAGTTACAACTATAGTAAGACTCGATTCAGCGGTACATCCTTGATAATTTGTCTGACGTGCACTGCTCAGAGGAGCGCATGACAGTGTGTGTGGCAGTGTCTGAGCAAAAATATATACACTAGATATTGCATAGGGACCCTGAGCATGCGTCAATAGCGCCGCCACATTGGTACAGTGCTCCCAGGACAAATGTCATTCAACCGCACTAGTCAAGACAGTGTTATTACGTGAAGATGCGGGACTTTAGCGCTGTCTACAGGTGTATTAATGAGCAAACAGAGAAAACAAAGCACAAAGGCAGAACATTTCATAGGTAATATTAAGTTTTTTTCTGTTTTTGTATGTTCTGAACTTTTGTGCTAATCAGGTAACGTTATTGATGATAACAGTCACTTACTGCATTCACCATACAGCAAAGCAGCTCCAACTCGCACTAAACACTCTGCTTATGCTAGTTTTGTTGAATAAAATCAGCAAATAATGCAAAAGAAATATGACAACGAGATGCTGCGCTGCTAGAAACTTGTATTATTGTCGGCTAACTTTAGTGAAAGAATCGTTCGGGGGATTCATTCACAAAAGAATCGCTCCCTCCGTCAGTAAGAGAAGTGAAAGCAGGACAGGAGCTGTGTTTCAGGACGTGATTAGATCAAATTTAACAGGGAGGGTGAATATTACATTTCTGTACACACAAACACAAGCTTTTTGTCAGGAATGCCCGTGCGGTCACTGATCCATCAATGTAGAAAAGTGATGTAAAATTATAATTTTCATAATTAGAAAAAAAAATTACATACTAACATCCAGGAAAACTCCCGATCATAGATATATGTGTATATGTGTATATCTCTGGCTCTGGATGGCCACAGTCCTCCACTGTACCTTGGTCCCGCATTCATTTTAAAGGAGCGCTACCCTGTAGCAAGATGGCGGCGCTATTGACGCATTCCGTCCAATAGACAACAATAGGCCAGGCGACATCTAATGTATATATCTATGGTGTCTGAATGTGTGTGGTCACGTGATGTGCATTTTCAGCGGACAGAGGGCTGTTCAGAAATGCCAGGTAAAACACGGTGTGGATGTGGATCATTTTCCTTCTTAAATGCCATTTTAATACTAAGACGTAATAGTGTAAACGGGGTCT